ATTTTATCAACGCGTTTACAGCAACACAGTTTAGCGTTGTACATCTGGACTTCAGTTTAATGGCCGGTGCTTTTTGAAGATTCAATGAACAGAAATACAATATGACTACATTAGTGACTCGTAGTAGCATTCATCATGGTTCTCCAAGGGATTCCAGTTCACACTGAATGGTACCTTGACAGCAGTATGACTGATTAATGGTACTAAAAGTGAAAATTTCTTAAGTTTTATATTTTCAATATTCTAATCTAATTTTTGCTACCACACTACTTCTCAAGATCAAGACTATCAAAAAAAATCATTGGGTAGTTAGTATTTTCGGGGAAGATAGTGACCAAATCTTCACTACGCTTTTGTTCTAATGGCTAGATCAATCATCTCATTTGGTGTGAAACCGACAGGTGAATTCCATGATTCAAGTTACGTGTAGATGGGCACTTGTTATCATATTTTGATATCATATCCATATCACAGATGAAGTTGCCATGTAGCAAATTGAGATGTACTATTCTTTTGCAATGTTCACGTAGGGTGAATGGACATGAATATATCTCAAATACTCAATCAGTATTGTTTCTTGTATTATTCTGTCGCTGAATGGACGGAATTGATTGGTCTCTATTGTTATATAGACTCCTGCGCCTTCCATCATTGATATACAATTCAAGCACAGGCAATATCCAGGCATTCGTGCAGGAGCCCATATGCCAACAAAAACCAATCGATTCGGTTCACTCAGTGATCGGATAATACAAGCAATAACATTAAAACCATACCCATCTCACAAGAAGTGGCTACTGTGACTCAGTGGTCTAGTGGATAACTCTGACATTTGAAATAACCGGTCCCGAGTTCGAGTCCTAGTAGGGACAACATTGTTCACCGGGAGGCAAGTCTCAAATAGGATGAAACATGTGTTCTAGATTCCACTACTCGCCGCTATCCGTCAACAATATGTAAATACTCAGTCGATTATATCTTGAAGATGATAATAACTGTTGGGATTATTATGAAGTTAGACAACTGCCGATATACAGCACGTTGCCATGTAAGCTTTATGTGGTGTGACTGACGTCGTGATCATTATTTAGTTCAAATAAATGCAGAAAATGTTACAAGAAATGAACAGATTAATTAATATTGCGCTCAAAATTACTCATCCCAAATACTATTTGAACGAAATAATGACGTTGCACTTAAATATCGTTAGTGTGCACATCGATAAGTTAGAAATGTCAGTCATTAACTTTTATTGGATTGTGGCCAGGAAAGTAATGTAGGGATGGAAGTTACTTCAGAAACAAGAAAATATTTGACAGCGTGAGAGTTGAAGAATTCATAGCAAGGTGAGTGAGTAGACACTTATCAATGGCAAAAGGAACGAGAAACTAGTAGCCGAGCTCAAAGCGTTCTACTAATAACAACATGAAAATAATAAAAAAAATGTTTATTCGGCTTAAGATGCTGGTGTACCTTAAAGATTCACCTATCGAGGATCAGCATGGAATGGACAAATGATAAACTTTCTTAGTAACATGAATCTGTTTTCAAGGTATTAGCAGAAGGAACTAGTAAGAACCTTCTTGTTGCGTATTTTTCTTTTATTCAGTTTCTTACAATGTCTAAGTCAAAGACGGGATTGTTTGAATAAATCATTTGTTAGAGATTTTAACCGTCATCGCTTGTTCTCACTGCCGACTAGATAGATTTAAACAAGACTGTTAGTGTAGAAACTGATCTATGTGAATACTACCAAGAGTGAAAAGATATAAATGACTATCGAAATGATTGGTTTCAGCTTAAGTATACCTTGAATGATTGTACCCTTAATCTTATCTGTTGATCATACTTAAGAGCATGAGACAGTCCTGATCTTACGTGTAAGACTTTTAAGGCGCAAACATATAGGAGTCTCATTAATATAAGTGTAAAACTTGGACACTGTGGTAGAATGTAATTCCATATTAGATTTATTTATTTGATTTATAACACAGTGATCTGGTATTATTTGCTTGATGACAACGTTTCCAGCATCAATTATTGCTCACAATCATATCAATGTAATCGCACTGCTTTCAACACCTGATTTCTATACTCCTGTCACATCATATTCTTTGTTTCTACTTGTAGTAGAATTTTCCATATCTCTGGTATAGGTGTTGCCTCATTCCTACTACATGTGTTGGGTGTTGATTCGGTGAACAAATATTCAGTAATCAATCTCTCACTCTCTCCATCTAATCATATTGGATTTAAGTACAATATAGTGGTTTTATCCCACTCAAACTATTGTGTGGTTGTGTATTGATGCATGAATTGGAATATCCCAGTTTCTTCTAGATTGTTCATCTTGTTGAGATCTGTCATTCTATATTTAGCTAAATTCCTATGTTTTGTTAATGTAAGTGACCCGAGCAGCTAGTTTTATCTATGTGTTTGACCTGGGAGTCATGACATGGAATTTGATAGATTAGATTATTTTGCTTAGTTGGTTCCATCAGATCCTTAAGTCAACAAAGCTTATCCGTTAGTGAGTTTGTAGGTTTACATGCCCCCCTAATTCCAGCTTTGTTGAGGATCCTACTTAAAGTTTCTGATACACCTTCCTTATAGGGTAACACAACGAGGCTGTGAACTCCTTTCTGCTTGTATTGTCACTATTATTTATACTCGTGTTACTGTTGTCTTTTTGTTTCTTGTGTGTTTGTACGAATTTCTTGATAAACTGTGAAGAATAATCATTAACTATTAGTGTTTACTTTACGTGTTTCAATTCCTTGTTTAGATTCTTGCACTGACTAGTCAGTTTTCTAGCTTTATCATTTAGACATCTGACCAAACCTGCCTTAACTGACATTGGACGAGATGACTTGAAGTTTAGATACCTTTTGGAATGCGTCAGTTTTCTGTAAACAGTAGTATGCAAACCACCGTCTGTTCTTCTTTTTATCCTGCAATCCAACATCGGTAATTCTTCTTGTTCATTTTCTACCTCATACGTGGATTGGATTGCGCCTACTACTAAGTTTATATGTCCCCATTTTAGCACAGTGAATGTGTCATCCACATATCGTCACCATATTTTTGGTGCAAGACTAAGCATTTGTAAGGTCATGTTTTCCATCCATCCATAAATATATCTGCTACTATTGGGGATATTGTCGATCCCATTGCTACTCCTTCTGTTTGTCTATATATTTTGTCCTGAAACTTGAAGACTGGAGATCAGGCACAACTGTACGCCTTATATAATCTCATCATCTGATATCTGAGAGTCAGTTGAGTCAATATTTAGTTGATTTCTGACCGCCTTCTATGCCGTATTGACTAGTATTTTAGTATAAAGACTTGTTACATCGAAACTAACCATTTTTTCATCCTCTTCTACATGTAGTTCATTAAGCCTTAGTTTTAACTCATAAGAATTTACCAGTCTGGAATTTGAACGATTCCTAATAGGACATTACATTGATGTTAAGTACTTTGCTAGTTCATATGTCAGGGCCTAATGAGATAATCTGGTTTATGAACTTTAATAGTACTATAAATTTTGCTAGGATTATTAGTTTTAGGTATTAAATTAATCCATGTAGACTCACCTAGAGATGGTTTTGGTCAGTGTATCAGATCTCTTGTAGATTTTTCAATTTTATTCATGACCTTGTCTAAAGGCTTCTTGATTTCTTCATATTGGTCCTGTTTGGATATGTTTGTTAATTTTATTGAAATAATCAAATTTTCTGTAACTACTATTGAATTACCCTTATCAAATTTATCAATTACTGTTATTGTCATTTCGTAGATTAGTGAGAGCTTAATTTTCAAGTTTTGTTAAGTTTCGTTACCTCATCTTTTGCTTTTTTAGCGTTAATACACAATGTGCTCTAACTTGTTTAGTAGTTGCTGCATCCACCGAGCTTAATGCTACTTCTATGGTAGGTATGACATCCTCAGGTTTTAGATGACCTATTGTCATGTTGAAGTGTAGCCTTATTTCAAGTACTTTCGTTTCATCTGAGCTGAAGGTTCTCGAGGAGAGAATGACTACCCACTTTGTTCTATCTGTGTTTGATGATGTTTCATTTGTAATTTGAATATTTTCCCCAGGGATACTTTTCTTCTATTAATTTGTTGAATTTTTTGATTTACCCGTTTATGGATTTCTTGAAAGCAGTTGACCTTCCTTTTTCTGGTGTTCTTATTATAAATTTATATTGTCTGCTGTTTACTGTCTTCATAAGATTACATTTTAGTTGTTCAGTTTTATTCTGGATAGTACTTAAATTCGTGATGCTCCTTCCTTGAGACAGAGTTTGCTGACATCTTCTGCTGCTCTTTTGATTTTCTCAGTAGATATTAGAATACATAGAGGAAGATATTTAGCAATAATTTGATTTTTTATACACCGAATATTGATAATACAATGATTTGTGAGACATGCTTTGGTTTGTCAATGTCGTGTGAGTTTATTGACCAGCAATAATTTATGCTCAAAATGTCATCCGGTAAATAATGCTATATTACTGTGTGTTATAAATCAAATAAGAAGCGTAGAAAACTTTCAAGAAGTTTGTGTAAATATATTTGTAAACTGAAGAAATGAAAGCTTTTATGAGCATTCTGTAGATAGGCAGAGACCCAGTGCAGTACAGCTAACTATAGTGTTTCTTGTAGCAATCTTTGAGAACTTTGGACCGATATAACAAACTTTTAAACTGTTAAAACAATATTATAGATGAGCAATTTCTAAAAACTCTATGGTCATTTATCAAGATCTGATCGCTGACCACCTGGTTAGCTTGAAATTTCACTAAAACGATGCTAACACTTCATTAATTGGTTGACTGAGAAATCACTTTATATTCCGTCGTTCAGTTCAACATATTGACTGAATTCACTGGACTACATGTATAAATTGAGGCACTAAGCTAAACGACTGAACATAAGAATAAGTGTGTGTGATACTGGATAACTAAACGCAGTCGGTTGAACAACCGAAAATGGGATCTGGGTCCATATGGAAGCATCATGTTCGTCGTCAGTTTGCAGATACACCTTTAGTTTGTGGTTGCAGTTGGTACAAATCGAAGGTTTGCTTTATACGACTGCTATCTATGCAACATAGTCATCAAACCAACTCAAATCCTATACCGAAATCCTAAATAATAATTAAATAATTTACTACAAGTATTCATAAAGAATAGATGAAACCCAGTATACAAGTGGAGGCCGTCATGGCTCAATAGCTTATTGGAGAACGCCCTGACTTCTTAAGCTGTATGCTGTATTTGAGTCACACTGAGAACACCGTCGCTCACTGGGGTGTAGGTTTATCCAGTCGATGAGTTCCACATAAAATGAAGTCCATATCCTGGATTCCAGTGCTAGTTGGCATTCAGTAAACGAAATCAAATGAGTTACAACAGTATCGAGGTATCAGTCAGCATAAGAATATATGTGCAAAAAGAGATTGCTCACTTCTATCCAGTATAACAGCGGGGAACCACAAAGATGAATAAGTAAATGATTGCTGTTTCCACAGAAAGTGGACATACATAGCACCGTCACCCAGGTATATGAAGTCTTTCATTAATAGTGAATTTATTGTTTTCTCCAAAACAAAAAGTTTCAACGGGGTTGGTTTCATAAGAACTCACCAGGTATGGTTTGGTAAGACTATTTCATCCTTTTAGAAACTACGCTCAATTTTGTCATTGTTATGTTTACAAGAAAGTGAATGAAGTTTGTCATACCCATTAAAAATTTTTCATAATTCTAGAAACCAAAACAAAAGAACAGGAAATACGCCCTTTTGTCTGGTAGTCAGAAGAGTGAACCGAGCATACGTGTACTTAACTTTGCCAAATTTATCTCAGTATGTTGACATATCTTTTCGATAGGAAGGTAAGCAAGGTAGAATGGGACTTATCAGCTGCTTTATTCAGAACTCCCAAAACCGTATGCTACTCAATATATATATATATATATATATATATATATATATATATATATATATATATATATATATATATATATATATATATATGAAAATGATGGCTCATTGTATGAATTTCCATTGATAAGAAAAAGTTACTTTTCTGTTTTTGAATTTACTCAATCCTCAAAGAAAGGGGTCTTTTGAATGAATTTATCACTCGTAAGCTTATGTAAGTATTTTACAAAGATGAAAACAGAGTTATTGTGTGATTATTGATTGATACTGTCAGTGGCAAACAGCATCAATAATAGGCAGTCAAGTAATAGAAGATTAGACTCACTACCTTGTATAACTTGTCCATACAGCCTAGTTCTACTAAACGTCTGTAAGGAATTTGAGTGGTTTCAAGTTCGACTATGCCTAGTAATGTCATCAACTATTCATGCTTATCTTGTGAATTAGTTTGAAAATAGGGAAAGGAGTTGCATTTATCATTACCATTACCTATTATCAGTGATCGACGAATTTTAATCAAAGATAAGAATATCATCGGATTTTGCCTCCATATATTTTCCTCCAGACTAAAACACTTACAGTCTTACAGCTCATTTAGAAGCCTCCGGAGTGTTTGTTTCTGGAGTCGATTGCAGGCTATAAAAGTCCTTGTGCTGCTGCAACTAGTTGGGTAAACATTATTTGTGTGAACAGTTGCGCTTGGATTCATGAATTGCTGTCAATAGGCAACAATTTTATGTGAGTATTCTACTGTTTCCTTACTGAAAGTTGTTCAGCTCCCATAGTTATTTGGCACTTTTAGGCGTGTAAATGACACTATATGTACGATTTCACTCGTAACCATTGGGTTTCATCTGCATACAAGTAAAAAAAGCAAAATTGTATACATTGCTGGTATGCACTGTGTTTGTGGTGTTCACCACTGAAATCACAATTATCATTAAGAATACAGCTTGTATATGCACGATCTCTTCATCAATCTTTTGATTGAAGTAACTATTACTTTACACATCTTGACTGATAGTGAATTGTACAGTTATTTTTTCAATAAAAAAACTCTGATATTTCATTGTGCTTACTTTTACAGGTCTATGTAAACTTGTTCAAAAATATACGAGATACCAATTTGATCACATTACTCATATCCTGTGTATCAATAGTATTTTTGATCACCACTAAATATTTTATTGAACCACTATTAAGAAGATATGTACATTTCAATTTTCCAATACCCAGTGAATTAGTTGTGGTAAGTAATTTCTAGTTTTACACTGTTCTACTTTATTGTCAGTTCTCACTGAACCTGTCTGTTCCGTAGTAAAATAACAAGAATTAAGTTTTTACACAATATTGAAATATGTTAGCTTGCTTGCTAAACAGATCTAAATTAAATTTTTGAGGGGGTTGTGGAGATTTGGAAATATTTCAAGTTGTTATTCAGCGCAAACTGACATACTAGGACGAAACGGCTGTCCAGTGCTCCCAGGTTTCCTTTGTTCCTCCAACTGATGTCAGTCTTCGATGAATAACAACTTGAAATATTTCCAAATCTCCACAACCCCCTCAAAAATTTAATTGAACTAGTGCTCGTTGGTGACTAGCTTCGAGAAGTATTCCGAAGTTCCAATGACAAGTCGTGACCGGTGGAGTCAAAGCCTGATGGCCGTGAGGACAAATACTCAAAGATGACATTGGGTGGCGGTTTGCGCTATATCGTGAGCTAACAGAAGTTGGAAATATGGAGCATTGGATTCTGACCCAGTGGCTCAATGGTAACGCGCTGGTCGCGGAACCTGAAGGTCGCGGGTTCGATCCCTGCTGGTGGGGTCGTGGGTGCTCACTGCTGAGAAGTCCCATACTAGGAAGAAACGGCTGTCTAGTGCTCCCAGGTTTCCTTTGTTCCTCCAACTGATGTCAGTCTTCGATGAATAACAACTTGAAAGATCTAAATTAATTGAACATCATATTGCTTCCTGAGATCATGGAGTGACGGATTCCTTACAATTTAGCCTCGGCATAATTCTTGTACATTTCGTTTATTTTTTTATCTTGTTCAGTTGTACATGTAACTTGTTTCACATAATAAATTTATGACGACACTTAGAATTGTAGCTTGGATATCTAAATATTTATAAAAGTTTCTAATCTATGAAAGTGACTTTGTAGATGTTACACTGAAGAAATATAGTTATGAGATTAGGAACCACTGTAACCTTTCAAATGTACAGAAGTTAAACTCAGGGTATAAAGATATTTTAACTTTCACTGTTGGTTTCCGTGAGAAATCAGCATTGTTTAACGGCAGGAAGTTTATGATGAACTGCTAATTATGTTACTTCATATTGATAGTTACACATACAACTAGAAATCAGAAAGTGTGGAAGAAGTAAAGGATAATTAGTAGTGGGCATTCAAATCAAAACCAATCACTGAGCTAGTGGGAATATATCCTGTTTGTTCTTCGATCAGACGTAAAGTTAGTTGACAAGAGGATACCAGTCAGAATGGCTAATGTTTGCATCCAACTAAACCGTTGACTGGTCGGCTTGCCTAATAACCATCAGATACGGTCAGATCACTTATGCGAAACTAATCAGCTTCATTTGCACATGATGATATCCAGTGTGAAGATGAAAGGTTGGCGACAAAATATCTTCTTAACTGTAAGACATTAAGCAGTCAAAATCACCAACCTTAGTATCAGATGCTTTTAATAAAATAAAAATATCATTGATACTCAGGCGATTAATCGTCCACAGGCTTTCATTTTAACCACTTGTACCTCTGCTGTCAATTATCCTGTGATACACAGCGACTTACTCCTCTTGGTGTGTTATTATCGTTGAAGAGCTCTCCATTTTCCTCTTCTGACCTCTGAACACCATTCTTTAAACGTCGGTCAGTTGTGAGTATCAAAAGTCGATTTGTAACAACAGAAAATTTCAAGAAAAACAGAGGCGACTGAAGAGCGAAAAGCAGATTGAAACAAAATCAAATAGATTCAGTTAGGGGACAACGTTGGTAAACCAGATTATCCAGTTCTGGTGTGTTTGTAGTTTGGGCAGTATTTACAACTCACTGCAGGTCACTGAATCAGTTTCTTAACACGTCTTTAACAGGAGATAGAATAACCGTATTAGTTTCAGGAATTCATCTGACTCATGAAACGTTCATGAAAAGGCTAGTATTATTTTAAATTCTACATCTGTATTGAAAACCATTTTGAATGCCTTTATAAACTCAATCTGATAATCCTTTATAAGTTAAGTATTTCATGTTCAAAGTTAAACCTGTAAACCAGGCTGAGGCCTTTCCAGTCTATCGACGTCAGCAGAAATTAGACTTTATCTATGATCTACGACTATAGTCCTTTAGATATATGAAGAAGCTCTCTGTCAGTGTTTTCATAGAGTTTCACTTAGTTCGCACTACAGACTGAGAAATCCACATGAACATCAGAAATCATATCAGTTAGATAGCTAGTGAAAATCAAGGAGAATTGAACAGGTGCTTCATCTCAGTTTCGGAGTATTCGCGGGAGAAGAAGGATACCTATAAATGAAATAAGGTAATGCAGACGCTACAATATGGAAGACGGATTCCAAAGCATTGGTGTGATACTTAAGAAGATTGATAGTTTTTACCTCTACCATATAAAAGGCTGTCAGTGTGAATTGTTAATAAGTTGCGAAGTAGAACAAAGTAGTTTTCCAGTGGCTCCTAGTCTTCTCTGATTCTCTAGTTGAATTCAGTCCTCGATGTAAATTCATTGAAACCGATCATTTCCCTACAAAACAAAGAAACAAAGAAGTAATTGAATACTTTATAAACCTTCACTGTTTTGTATGTGGTAAAGTTGAAACAATTTTTCCGGCTACTTTAAAGCGAACTTGTAATCTCATTACTTTGCAATGTATGACACTTGATTGAGGGCTATTGTCTGTCGATTCACAAATCCAATGTGACCAAACAGCATACTGCTGAAACTTACTGACAAGAAGGCAAGATTTTGAAACTTCCTAAGGTCGACAATATATACCCAGGATATTATTGGAAGACGGAAAAGCACAGTCGCTTTCTTTTAACTTAAGTCCTTAGTGTCCTCACATGAAACATAGTGAATGACTTAAAAAGTAGGGTTTTTCTTTCAGTATTATAATGCAACACAGTTATTGTATTACAAAGAGTTCTGCAAAGCTTAAGTACATTTTCTCTAACGAAACTATGAGGTAATATTTAACAGTGTGGAGGATTCTGAGTCCAGCTAGGATATCCATGAACACTGTTATATGCGTAAAATTGGTTTCATAACATTTCCAACTTACCTGATTCCGAGAAGAAAACCAATAATTTAGTGTCTTTTATTACTTAAGTTTAGCTGATACCCGAAATGTTGAGACATTTACTTGGTTTAAGTGGTTAAAACAACCAGTCGGTGAATCAGTCGGAGAGAAAAATGCATTCTTGAAATCATCATATATCGACTGATAGTAAATTTTAGCAGTTAAACAAGAATGATACAGATTCCACCATGGTATTTAACGATAGAAAACGTCCGTCGGTATTCTTTTTTCTGCCACAATTTTATCGTTCTACCGTTTATTTATACTTAAATTTCTGTTGTCTTATTGGGTATAATCCATTCATCTACATGATCAGATTGCTCTGGGTACCGTAACTTCGGCCGCTCTCAACTTGCATTCAACCAATAATGTTTCAATTGTTGGACATATTGCAAGCGGGTGAGTATATTTTTTATGGAGAAAATATATTTCTGCGATCGTGATTCATGACTGAACACTAGAATAGCCTTAAATAACATATCTGGATGAAACAGACTGAGCTAGTTGCTTTGGTAAAGTTAGACATCATTATCATAATAATAATAATAGTAATAATAATAATATTGATGATAGTAATGGCTGTATTCCAAACAAGAATTGTGGTACACTATGGAATTCTCAGTATATAATAGTTCATTCGTTTCCTGTACAAAATCATTTCATTTGAGTAATGTTAATAATATCGGTAATAAGATTATCAATGTCAAACAGGCACCTGGTATTACATCAACGTCTGGTTTGGAATGCTGAATGAATAGAAAGTCTAGCGTAATTTTAGCGGTGGTAGTCTTTTTCAGCCAGTACCGAAATCTGCAATTCGACACTGTTATCCAAGGAAAAGTAGTGTACTGCATTTCCGTGAATTTATAAACGCATCTTTTACCGGGTTATCATTCATCCTTTGTTTTGTTGTGAACTTGGAAAATGGCAGTTTGAAACCACTTTAAAAGTGTGCAAGAGTACTTTATGCGTTTAAAAAACATTTAAAAGAGTAAAACAAATTAGAAGAGGAGGATTTAATGAAATAAATTCGGGGGAAAATTTTCAGTAGTCCAAGATTTAAGCAGGCTGCCTAGCTTAGTTAGCTGAGTTGGAGATGAGACAAAGATGCTTTGTCTTTACTACTGAAATGGTTATAGGAGACTAGTTAGCCCTAACCCTCCTTTGGTAACTGCTAGCATAAGTCGATGGTATAAACAAAAAAGATGGATTGTTGAAAAAGATAATTAGTCGTAAGTTGTCGTTAAAGGTATCACTGGTCAACTCATAGTGACCTCTATATCACAGAATCACCCAGGAATAATACTACCGGCAGAATATCTTTACAGATGTATTTCGCAAAGGTGGATTGTTCAGCACACCTAATCCCACTAGTTAATTGCACGGACTAACCAACCGAAAATTTGATGGGAAATTTAAAAACTTATCAACGCAGCAATCCAAACTGATACTCCCCTCATCTGAAAAACTCTACAAGTAAAACAACTCGATAGTGACACAGTGGCTGAGAAACTTTCCAATCGGCAGATGTAAAAGAATACTATGAAATTCAGCCAGCTGTTTACTTACTTCACCATATTTATCATAAACAGAAGGCAACCATGATTTTTTAAAAACTTCAATTTTAATTTGAAATGTTATACTGTGAACAGAAGAAACACACCTCCTGCATTCAGAAACCCAGTAAACTATTTGTTTGTTGGCATGAACACAGTGTACTACTTTTGATAAACCTCAGTAGTATCTCACAATGAATATTTAATTGACGCGGATACTGTAGAAACCGTAAATGATCATATGAAAACCTCCAAAATGACATACAGTTTAAAATGCTGCTATAATTATGGTGATAAGCTCAGTTTCAAAATTGGGAGATTAGTTTTAGTTTGAACTAGGGTTAACTATTAACTTCATTGAGTACAAGAGAGAAATATCCTAAAGTACTTCTGTAGAAAGAAGTTTTAACGTGAAGAAGAAAGTTTATTAGATAAAACATTCTTTTGTGCTAAAGGGAGATTTCATAGTCGGCATTCCTAAATAATTCACTCATTAAATTGAAAGCTCTTTGAGATACTGAACCATAAGATTTCTGAGCAGATTTTCACAAACCATGGCGACTGAATAATACGGAATTAAAATTTCAAAAGAAAATGCAGCATCCATTTGGTTATTTGTAGGCATTATTGGTTTCAGGGTAGTTTTGATCACAGAATGACACCATTTAGAGAGCCACTGAATAGCTTTTTCGTCTTAATTTGAGACTTCTCAGCGGTGCTCATACATGGCGTCATTAGGGATCAAGCCTAGGATCAGTGGTACTAGATGACAGTCGTACACTATTGCGGAATAACAGAAGAAGAACGCAAACCGTTAGATTTCAGCCTAGTAACCGAATAACAGCGTACTTACTATGAGATAAGATGATCCTGGGTTCGTATCCCTACAGGGTTGTTTATGCTCACAGCTAAGGTGGTAAGAAATAAGTAAGAAGAAACACCTATATATTCTTACTACATGTTCAATCGTTTTTAACTTTGTCATTTCATGGTGAAAACTTACCCTAGAATGTGGGGTACTATAAGTTGGAAATTTGAAGCAGTCAATCTCTTGTATGGATTGGTATAGCGTTATGATGAGACGAAGTTTGTCGGAAAAATGTGATGTGTTTAGGCATTATTTGCTGAACAGTTAGATGATACATTTATTTGTCAAATCCATTGAAAAATGAAAACCAGGCCGACTATAAAATTTGTATTAATGATGAATAGTGGCTAGTAGTGGAATCCAGGATATGCGTTTCGTCCTATTTTGGACTCGTCAGCCGGATGTACCTGCCTCCTAGTGAGTGGTACCATTCCCACTACGACTCAAGCCCCAGAATGATCGCTTCAAATGTCAGGGCTTCATCCATTAGGCCACTTTCTATGCGACGGGTGTAGAGGAATCCAGGACTGAAACACAGGCAGTATCAAAGCACTCGCCCAGAAGCTCATATGTTAATAGAGATCTATCAGTTCGGTCCAATGAACGATGCAACAATACAAGTAATAACATGTGAAATTTATATGAACAGTGGGCTTCGAAGGTATGAAAGATGATGACAGAAGAATAACATATTTTGACACCAAGCTTGGACAACCATATTAGAAGATTTTGACAGTAACTGGAAAATATTCAGACTAATGGAAGCAGTTGTGGTAGAAATATGATGAGGTGATCTGTAAGGGGAACCCAGTGTCATAATGTGTACTGAAAACGGAAGAGTCACATTAATTGCATGAAAGTTGTTTAAACGCGAAACACTTTACGTACAGTTTCAAATGGAACCGAAACAAAGCATTTGGCAACTACAAAAGAAGTATAGAACATGTTTAACTGTAAATAACTCTGGCAATCAAAGTTATTAGTGTATTCATAAAACACAATATCTAGTCAGTTCGACCCACAATACGAATACTATACCGACATTTTCTTCATCGCTTTTAGTTTGTACTGTCAGAATATTGTGCTTAGACACCCGTTGTCTTTTACTGCTTAAAAAACGGTAGTACTCACAGGAAATATCCTATTTTGAAGGAGAAAAAGCTTTTAGTACGTTCAGCAATAGAATACACTACGTTTTTCAATGCTGGTTATGTGTCCACTGGAAATCATCTGTGAAGTTTTGAATTTTGAACACAGTGACGGTCACTATACCCTACTTATAATGTAAATTCACAAATAACTCATCTCACATACCGGTAAATCCACCATTCTTAATGAGATATACATTTTACAAATATCAGTGTCTGACTGAAGCATTTTCAACAACCCTATTTCCATTCCAGGTCGATGTACATGGAAATACCTGGAGTTACAGCGTTTTTTATCCGTCGCAATTATTTATGTGACTGGTACATACAAGTAGTAGTTGTGACTTTAATGTAAATATTTGTCTAATCCATTTTCCATGCTCATTCTTCTTTTTTAATACTAGAATGCCTCAGCTAACTGTACCATACTGGCCTGTTGTTCCGGAGTTGATTGGTGATGCGATTCTAATTACGCTAGTCAGCACCTTTCTGTCTATATCTTTGGTGAAATTATTTTCAATGAAGTATGGGGATAAAATAAATTTCAATCACGTAAGCATTTAATTGAAAAGATGAACACTGTATTTCAAATGCTTTTCATTTAAAGATAACTTGGGTTGGCAAGTTGAAGACTCGCCAAGTCTTCAACTCTTTCCAGATTCACAAACAAATTTTCGCCCTTGACAAGGTTAGGAATTCCACGTAGATAGCCAATCATATGTGTTAGGGTTTTCAATAAGGTTTCTCAGAATAAACGGATTAGATTTTGACAGGAAGGATGTCTAACCTTGTGATTTTTCTGTTTGACCTCTGAATCTGTACCGTTTCATCTACTGAGTTTACGAATCAGTTATTTTATCATTCCATTTGATTGATTTCTCATGCTTATTACATTTTTACTTAAGTGATTTTGTGACGTCTTTGTCAGTATTCTCAGTCGCCTTTTTGTAAAACCGTTTATCTATTATGATTGTAGATATACTGATGACCAACAGAACACCATTATTAAGTGCATTTCTTATGTCATAGGCGACTTGCTAGCTAATTTTTGAGCTTTGTGAAATATTCATCCCGTTCATCTATCTATCTAGTCAGTAATCTTTCAACCATATAGTCCAATAGGAATTAGCTACTGAAGGGCTTATTTTGTTGGAAAGATCAATAGGTTGCCTATACCATTTCTATTTTTCTAGTCTGATTTTGTGAACCTATCACAATCGAAATAATAGAATAAAAGGCGAATTTAGAAATTGTTGTTAGCATGATAACTGCTATCATATCCTGTTGGATGAATGAAAAGTTGAAAACGGATTCGACTACTTTCACTAACTTGTAATCCACGCTAAGTCATGAATTTCTGTTACTTAACAAACTTGTTAATTAATAAGGGTCAATGTGTTAGCTTATGAAAAAAGTTATAATCATGTGATTAACATTATCCTAAAAGCAATCGACTAATCAGTGTATGAACTTTGGAGTGAAAATGCAAACCTGCTTAAGATGGCCAAAACTAATCACATTATATCACGAAAAATACTACAGAAAGTCAACCACTCGGTTATATACTAGAGTCTCACAGGAAATGAGTTGACAAGTAGATCTGAAAGTCTTAGATGCAGCTGTACCAGAAGCTGATAGCAAGATCTTTCGGGAAAGCTTACACTTAGAGCACGATGACTGTCAGAAGCTTTTTGGATTCCGGTTGCTATTTACTTAATTTCAGTACTCGATAATACCGTCAAGATGAAAATCAAGCTCAAATGTTACACGTTTTTTGCTATAACTAAGTTAATTCTATTGCAATGGGATTGGCAACACTACTCAGCCAGTCAAATCAAAGTAGGTTCAACTTATTTATTTCTTTTCAGCCTTCAAATTAAGAGAGAGACAGCGAAAAAGTAATGAGTTATCACAGTTATCAAGCAAGCAGCACTGTTTTTTCGGTGTACTGTTGAGAAGTATTTACTATTATTAACACTAACATTTTATCAGATTCCCCTAAGATTTACTGAGAACCCTATGAATCAATCACTAGTTAATCGACATTTCTCCAATATCCAATCATATGAATTACTTTTATTGTAGTTTGATCAAGAAAAAGGTCCAAATGTGTTTGTACTTATTGAACAAAACATGGAAGGGTCATTTCGTTTTTCAGGATTTCAGGGATTAAACAAAAGGAAACTTTTACACAGACAAGAATAATATATATATTTCCACGTTATTTTGGTAAAATAACAAGTTGAATGAAATTACTGGGCATGGAAGAGCTGAGTTGATGATTATCTCTTGGAAGGGACAGTATGTTGCAAAATACACTAATGCCCTCTTGAATGAACAATATTTGAGTTTGACAGAATTAATTGATTTGTGTCTTACGAAATATTTCCACTTCGACAGTAAATTATAAAGTCAACAAAGAGAACAGTGATAATACCATCTTTATCAAGGCTGGTTGCAGAAACAGTAATATGAAGAGTGTGGGTTGTCGTCTTACCATCCGATGTGTGGATGATAAGTTTGTCAACGAGAAGAGCATTCAGGTAATCAAGTGAGTTCAAAACCAGCTCACATTTATCAAGCCCTAAACTACAATAGTGACAATTAGACAACATATAAGATCATTTTAGTTCAAAAGTTATCTGAAAAAGGGAAGATAAACTGCGGAACATTAACTTTAAGGCGAAAAGAAGGAAATTACTTAATGGAGGTCTTCCAGAAGAAAGAAATTTGCCGAATTCGCGTTCAAAAAACAGTCTTGATGGAAACTAAGATAAGTATTGTTATACAATACATGGAAGAAGTTTCGAAGATTGAAGCTGGATTATTGAAGCATTCGTGAATCGCTATAGATCATAAACCTATAAAATCTCTATATTTTAATTTATTATTGTCCAAAAGACAAATCCAATGTTATTCTATCTGGAGGCTGGCGAAGGTTTATTAATTGATTTTAGGTTGGAACTAACCATGGACTGACATCATATGGGTGAACATTGGAAACCTTGGAGCACTGGACAGCTGTTTTCTCCTACTACGGGACTCTTCAGCAGGTCGTATCCATGACCCCGCCCTCTAGGGATTGAACTCATGACCTTAGGGTTCCATTGCCAGCACGTTACCATTGAGCCACTGGGTTGGAATCCAGTGGTCCAAATTTTCTACTTTTGTCAGTTCAGGATATAGCGTGACTTACATCCAATATCGTCGTTGAGTAACTGTCCTCATATTCAGCAAGTGATGCAATATTATTCACTGGATGACGTTTCGAGCAGAATTCACCGCTCATAATATGCATCATATAACGAAGTCTCTCAATCATACAATTCATACATCATAAGTTGTCGAGAACTATTCTGTTTCTATGTTTTTACTTGTATTGTCCCATCGTAGATTGGATCGAATAGTAAGGTTTCTATTGGCATGTGAACTTCTGCGTGGATGCTTCGATGTTGCCTGTTTCAGTTTTATGTGAATGATGGACATAATACAAGTAACGACATAAAAATTATGCCCGTCGAACAAGAAGTGGCTATCGTGACTCAGTGACTTAGTGGGTAACACTTTGGCGTTTGAAGCGATCTGCCTTGGGTTCGCGTCCCACTGGGAACAACATCGCTAACTGGGAGGCAGGCACATCCAGTTGACGAGTTCGAAGTAGGACGAGACGTGCGTTCTCGATCCCACTCCTAGCCACTGTCCATCCTTAATATTCTGTTGCTGCACATGAAAAGGTGAAGGTATCAGATTGTGTAAAATTCTTTAATATTCAAAAGTGTTCATATTTACCTATTGTAGGAGATTTTGTCATTTGGAATTATGAATACAATAACAGCTTCTTCTCCTGTTCCGTTCAGTCTGGCAGCCTTTCTAGAAGTATGGTGCTAGAAGGGACAAGAAGTCGGACACCAGTGAGTAATCTGTGTATAACTTTGAGTTAAATCTGGTGATTATATTTGAGTGCAGCTGTCATGAGGCATTTGGGATTAACTGATCATTTTATGGATGCTTATGTTTAAATATTTTTCGCTGATATTCAATGATTTAAAATTTTCTACTTCATAAGAATTAGTGGTTGTGATTAGCCAGTTCAAATGAGACTTCAAAAATATAAAAGAATTCGAAAGGAAACTAATTTCTTGGTTCACAACTTCCATAAACTCTTGTGGTTAGTGTGTTTTAACATATCATTAAATTGTTGATGACGGAGTATAAAAGCTATGCTAATCAATGTTTTTAGAAACAAAATATTCCTTTTGAAAGGGTATCGGTTAAAATGACGCCAACAGATTTCATTCGGATAAAATGAATCCATTGGTTTACTGTAATGTCAGCAAATGCAGTTACAGTGAGCATGGTTTTAGTGATGCAGCGTATAATGATTCACTGCCTTGAATTCAACACTTAACTTTGGTTGCATGTATTAATACTATACGATAGTTATCCCACATATTTTATATTTTGCTGTGTCTTTCACATGTTCTAGTTTGATTCTGTCGGATAAACCCTTGTCATTCTTTTGTCCTCCAAAAACGACTCAAGTTACTTGCAGAAATATAGGCATTCGTTCACCAAATGCATTATTACCTCATGTTTACGCATTTAAAACTGAGATTCGGTCGGAAATGTCGGGTTTCTCTTTAAGCAGCCAATGTACCGACCTACCAGCAACCACTTTTCACCTTATGTTCAACTTACCTACTGACGGTGCACTGTGGCTGAATGCGTTTAATATACAGCTTTATTTATCACCAATTAAGAGCATTCGAAAATAAGAGATGCTAAATGTCTCCGTCTGGAAAAATTTATCAAAAATCACTAGCAATGGTTATTTTAGCAAAAGTTAATTCAGCGAATAAAATTTCATTTCCGATGAATCATTTTCAAAAGCTGTGCAGATGTAATCATGGTTACTACAAAATACATATCCATCAGTAGCTAGTCACTTAATACAAAGTTATTAGAAATGATCAATATGGTCCTAGGGTGATAATGGCTAGAAGGTCAATCTAAGGTCAACAAAAAACTACTGATAGGATTGCGATAAGTAAACAAATAATATATAGCGAATTGACAGAAGTAGGAAGTTTTGACCCATTGATCTCCGATTCAGTGACTAAATGGCTAACATGTTCACCATGGGACCTGAAGTTCCTGAGTTCGATCCCTGGCGGGTTCGTGGATGCATACTGCTGAGGAGTCACATACTAGGACGAAATAACCATCTAGTGCCCCCAGATTTTCGGTGGTTTTCCAACTGATGTCAGACAGTGATGAATGCTACCTTAATAACCAATCAAGAAACAACTTTTTAGGTATTACAACTAAGGTAAAATTAGAGACTGAACACATCTCTTTCGAACACAGAGATCAGGCTTGAACCAATGGATTGCCAGGTGGCGAATCCCCACTCTCTTCGAAATGTTCGATCTCACTTTATAAATGACTGAGAAAGATTCTCATGCAGAAAAGTGACTGGGGTTAACTAAATGTTCAAGAATCGAGCTGTTATTTGGATTACACTCTCCTTTAGACACCTATTCAGAATAGTGTTCGAAGAGGCGTTTCGATAGGACACACCTATATAACCAGCTCCACAAAAGCAGGTGAAATGGTAGACACGCAAGGAGATGGCCTACTGTGATAATTTATCCTTTTCACGCTCTCAAATCAGTTGCTTACTGGATGAAAGAATCTGAAGTTGGACGGTAAAGAAGGTCTTCGTCAGGGATTTATATAATCGATTTCGAGTATCTCTGCCAACACATCTCTTTTGAGTTCAATATTCGTCAACAGTATGTTCTTTGGAACCACAGGGGTTCTTGGGAATGCCTAGGTTTCATATTCTCCTCAATGGATCTTAAAGGATAACCACTCTCGATAAACACTTTTCGAAGTACTTTCAGTACTTTCATTTACTGCACCATCCGTACAAATTCTTCTAATTCTTATGCATAGTTAGTGAAGTAGATTTCTTTTCTTGACTAGCGGAACACAACTTTCAGAATTAGTTCATCTATTACAGTTTTATTTCATGTAAATCGATTTCCTTAGAGAACCATCATTTCTTCTAAATAGAAAGTCCGGGAAGTGGGATTGTGAGTTATTTTCTCTTTCCATGGTAATGTAGTTGACTTGTGACATTCGTTGAACTTCAGCACTATATCATCACGGTTACTGTTCTCCTTAAAAATTCACAATTTTCATCCACACGAGGTCTTATGAATCTCATGGCAGTGTAGGTATCTACTGCACTGACGAATCAGTTATTTCATTGCTGGAAACTGCTTGTAGGAGTCATATGAATACATGGAAGATAAGTGGACCAAGTAGGACGTGTGTGGTCATCTTTGAGCAGGCTTGCAACGAACTTTACAATCCCAGCCTTATTTGTGAATCTTGTCAAAACTTTTCTCAATGAAATAACAAATGAGAATGAAAAGTTAACTTTTGCTTGATCACTGAATTCGAGTGCTAAATAGGCTACTACCAGCTGGTTGGTTATTCATATGTAGCTAAATTTATATACACATCACTGATAGCTATCACCGAAAGTACTCAGTTTTCCATGACACGAAAGATCTTAGTTATCTGATTCCCATATATGGTCTACTTGAAGGCTGTTGGTAAGATGCTCCAGTATCAGAATTTTCATTGTGAAAATCAGTCTTCCTGAATTATTTGGAGTTTCGAATAGAAGCATGACTCTGTCCAGACAGATCTACAATTAAATAGGGCTGAGAATACTAGTAAGTTATTAAACAGTTACTGATATATTATGACAGTCACAGATACTAGTCGAATTCCGCTAATGCACGTTGTGTTTTGTCCCCTTGTTTGAATTTACTTTAAGTGGTCTGTTTGGTAAGTATAAATTTTCTCTGTAAAATTTCACTTTGTGACGTTTTTTAATTACGCAATAGGGAAGTTATGAATGAGTGACTGTCTTTGCATTGCGAAACTGAACTCTATACGAATTATGCATGAATCCGTGCATCAGTCACTGGGTGATAATTTATTTGGTCATGAAGTTTGTACAGCCGACAAACGTCTATCAGTTAGGCTCTCAATGTGGTTAATAAACTAGATATCGCAACACTGAAGTGTAGTTTATTTGGTCTTAGATGCCAAGTACCAGTCAATGGAAAGCCCTGATTCAAGTAGGTTTGGGGGTTATCGAAACTGGTAGGTGAGGTTTGTCTAAGACCTGGTGAAAACTAATGCTTTTTTCAGAGATTGGAACGTACATCACTCACCTCTGAAGATGAACCTGACAAAGCTTTTGGGACATGACAACTACTTTGGTTACCCACTGGGGATTAATTCAGGCACATCATCCTGTCTTATAGATAGGTGACTATGTTTTAGGAAGCTTACTTAAAACGTCTGTAAGTGGCATAGACAGACAGACATTTTAATTGATTTGTTAGAGTTATCATACAGCGTAACAGTATTGTTTATTGTATTACGTTTCAGACATAATTTATTGTCTATAGTCATAGCCATAGTCTTGATATGATAAATCTAATTAATCAATTAAAATGGAATTACATTCTACCACAGTGCACAAGTTTTACTCGTATACTAATGAGATGGACAGACAGAATCAACGTAGAACGTCGCATACAAGTGCATCGATTCAACTTGCCACATTACTCAGAAGTAAATAAAGTCAGGCTGGTAGAATAAGAGTGATATCAGAGTGGACGAAGTTGTATAAGAGAATAAACAATCTGAAGATAAAGGTTAGTGGGAATATCCCAGCTTTGGAATAGATCAGAGCGTGAATACACTTGCGCCATTGTGACTGATTTTCAGCCATCACCAACAGTCCTTAACCGCTGACTCATATCTTCCCCGGGGACTTCAGCCAGGTAATCTGCCTCTCCCCACATGACTCAGACTGATAGTCAGAGACTCCAAAGACTAGTGCCACGTCTTGGTTGACCACCCTGAACTCTCTTATAAACTAAACCGACTTGCCCTAGCATGATAGGTAGAGGTAGATGGTGACTGAGCATGCGTAACACATGTCCGACCGATCTCAGTCGATTAGGCTTCACAACATCAATATTCGGCTTGTCTGTCTTGCCTAGTACCCTTTGCCTGATCTCAACATTGTTCACACGGTGATTCTACGAAATGTAAGCATTGCCACAAAGACATCTTTGATCAAAACCCTGCAACCCCTTTTGTGTCTTCTACTTTTGACGACCATTTCTTACAGCCATACAACAGGACAGGATGGACTGCAGCGTAGTATACTTGTCCCTTGATATATAATCGGATATCTCTCCAGTACGTGTCAGAGATGACGCAAGTTGGCAAATGTCAAACGGGCCTTTTCTATCCCAGCTGAGACATTGTCAACAAACAACGGGTTTGAACTCATCCAAATCCTCAGGTGCGTGAAGTGGTTGACACCTTCCACCACTTCACTCCCTATCATTAAACTGGGAATGGCTGCAGCAAACGTTACTCCTGGAGCAACATCATGCATCTAACAGGTGCCAGCGAGAAGCAAGTCAAAAATACTCAAATTTTTGCTCAACGCGTCCAGAAGACATTGCATTTTACCAGCGTTTTCACCCAGCAGGACAATATCTTCTCTATAGTGCAAATCAACCAGACGACCTCTAGGGGTAGGTCAAGCGCTGTGAAGTCAGACGTACTTAAGCTTATGACTATTAGTACGTCTATAACGAAGTTATAGGTCACCAGTAGGTCACCACTAGTTGTCGTCAGTTTACATGAAAACTCTCCGTAAGCACTTACATGGCTGCGTGAGTTCGAGTAGAGAGGTTTGATAAGCATTATATACTTTCTCGGTACTACTTTCACTGTCAGACACTGCCTCACCGTTGACAAAGTCAAATGCTACCATCAGGTTAGAAATACTCCAAATGTCATCAGTTGGCCGGAAAGTATGTCTGTGCTCCATAACCGCAGGGTGCACATAGGGTGTAATCTTCAAAAGGAATGTTGTAGGTTAGGCCTCCTAGATGACCTGCCCCTATCATCTAATCAATCGTTTGAGCGAACCATGTGATACTGTAATAACTACATTTAGTGGTTGAAATCCTGTGAAACCTTGGATGTTGACAAAATATATTAAAGCAAACGCAAAGAGCTTATGCTATGAAATCTTATTCGAAGTATAACAAATACCATATAAACACAGGAAAACACAGGACAGGGACAAAGAAAAACTTTTCCTTTCGACGAAATCATTCTCTTAGCTTTACATTCGTGAATTTATAGTAAAAGGTATAGAATATTCCGGAGTAATTTCTGGTCGAAGGTCAATATAAATTGCATCACAAAGGAAAGTTAAATAATGGGGAGATAAATAAAATGGTTACAAACAAAAAATAAAATGCTAGGTCATGTGTGAGTTACTTAGAGTCATCAATAATCTGCGATGGCCACGGCAAAAAGACAGGCTGTACACACTACTTTTGAACACATAATGATGGTTTGAACCTTCGAATCGCTAATGCTTCAGCTATCCCCAGTTGTCTTAACCTCACTCCATTCGGGTGGCTTAGTCGCACTATGTAAAGAATTTTGAAGGACATATCAAAAGGAGTCAACTGTCTTGAGTTTACTGAATATTCTATTACAAAGCTGAGGATGCATTTCCGTCCTCCCGTTGTCGGCCAAGTTGGATAGTGTTCGTGAGCTCATTGCATAATCTGGTGCATGGTACAGTTGATGTACTCGGCTCCATAGGAGTAAGTGAACTGATATATACACACACACACACTGATGTGACTCAATGCTCTAGCTTATCCTGTACGTGCTGTCAACTGGGTTTCTGATTGGTGAATATGATTCTAAGATTGGCGGTATAGAATGTTCTGTTTATGGACCATGATATTCTCTTTCCAAGTACATCTGAGGCATTATCTCCCTGAAATTCGAGGTTCAACAGTAAAATCTTTTCCTGAGCAGTATGCACCCATTGGCTGTGGCTTTTCTCCGCTTTAGATTCTTATCTATAATTTTCAGAGGGTATCCAGTTCTCATCAGGATTTCTGTAGTTCATCATGCATGGTATCATCCGTGCATATTCTTCGTATCCTTCAGGAGAGTGAATTGATAAGATTTCTCTTTCTGGTTGAGTGCACACAACTTCGAAAATGAACAAGCTGCCGGTTTCAATTGTGTTCTCTGTAAATAGATCTCTGAAGTGAATTGTCATCTTTTCTTTGAAGTTGGACGTTAAGAAAGTGGAGTTGTGAGTTTGACTCTTCTTCTGGAGTGAATTGGATGAAGGGATGAACACTCCTGAAGGTTGAAGGAGGTTTTTCGAGATTGTTATTCTCGTCACGAATAATAAGGGTATCATTTATGTATCTTTTATAGAAATGAAGCTCGTTGATTATTTTCGATAATGTTGTGTTTTCCAGGTTTATCACAAAGCAGTTAGTTAGGAGGGGTTCTAGAGGTGATCCCATTGCTACGTTGTCTATATGTCCATAGATTCCATTGTTAAATCTGAAGGGCATGTTGAAAGTATATCTGAGAGGAAGTTCGTTTTTCTCCTCTGCAATCGTGTGTATTCCAATGTTTAAATGGGATTGTTTCGATATTTCAAGAGTTGCAAAGACCATTCAACAGATCAGGAACTGGATAAGTTTCTGCATTCTTCCATCAGACATGCATAGGTGAATGAGAAAATTTATTTCTTAAAGAAATGTGTGCCTAGACATGAATGTCCAAGAAAGTTTTTTTAAGAATTTAAAGCTTAATCATATTTCTCCTGATTCATGTACTTTGAAAAGACACACTTTGAACCAAATACAGTCTGTTAGATTACAATTACTGGGACTCCCTTCTTTGTCATGATCATCACAGATTATTGATCACTCTTTATTTGTAGGCATTTAGTTTATCTCCTCATTATTTAACTTTCCTTTGTGATGCAATTTATATTGACCTTCGACCAGAAATTACTCCGGAATATTCTATACCTTTTACTATAAATTCACGAATGTAAAGCTAAGAGAATGATTTCGTCGAAAGGAAAAGTTTTTCTTCTCTCCTACCGTGTGTTTTATGAATACCTGAAAACCTAAATATTTTTACTGAATATTTATTTATCATTTTATGTTATCTAAAAGAAATAAGGACAGTGAATATTAACCGAGAATTCAGTCATCGGGCAGGTTTGTGTCATTATGCACCACGTCTAAAGGATGGAACAACATGAATTCGTGCTGAGCTTCAGCACCTAAGTCATGCACTTTAAATAATTTACCGTTATGGCATTAGCTCAGTCACCAGACTGTTTATAAGCAGCAATAATAGCAGACTACTACAAAAAAAGTGAATTGCGACTGATGTAGAGTGATAACGTTTACTCAGAAACATCCACCTGCAGGTCCTATAAACTTGGCACACTCGTGGTAACGTTTAGTGCTTATTTAACGGAATTCACCGCATAGATTAAATAGCAGGAATGATCTCCTGATGGATTGATCGTTCCAGCTGTATAAGTTTAGTTTTCATTAAAGCATACCTAATTACCCAACTGAGTAGCTTTCATAGGCTTTATTAAACTGCTCAGCAGTTTAACCTTCATTGATAAACAAAAATTCTGCTTGTCAGATAAAACAAAGTTCATTTTTAACTGATAACTTAATGTCCCATTAAGATGTATGCTGAGTTAGGTGACAGCACCATAATCATTCATCTAAAAAATACCTACAAAATATCTAATTTAGCTATAATTTAGCTGTGTTCCTGAAATTGTACTGGCATCATCATTATACTGTTTAAGAAACTAAATGAAGTTAAGACCTCATCTGCAGGTGGTTCTTGTATGTTAGAAGAGGAATGAGAAGCCAGTAATGCAATGGTTATCAGTGAAAGTTCTGTAGTGACTCCAATTTTTGCTTTTCTCAGTCGATCATCGAATTGTGACATGCATGTTTTATACTCTCTCTCTCTCTCTTTATAGCTATCTGGTGTAGTCAGTTCAGCCATGATTATTTTTGTACTGTTATTTTTGGGGCCATATTTTGAAGCTACTCCATCGGTGAGTTCATTAAGTACTGTTTCAAGCACTGATATGAATATTCCCTCTGTTTATAACGTCGTCAGTATACAGTTCATATTGTTGAATTTAATTTTAATGTTTTAACGTATCAACGACCATGAATATCAATAGAATATGGGTTTTTGTCATCATACTGCAGGATGAATTATGACCGTTTCTACAAATCACTGCGCCAATGAGATGATTCTGAAGGTGAAACAAAATACTGAGTAATTTTCGGTCTTGCCTGTTCGCACTGAACACATGAAATCACCAGTTAACAGTACAGTTTATTACAAAATGATGCTAAAACATAACTGCTGGCTTTCAGTTCTTTTGAGGTGTATTCCTCCGGAATACAGAATGACTTTAAAGGCCACCCTAGCAACAACTGGAATAACCAGTTAGGCTTCTCTGTTTTAGGAAAATCTGCCTTCCCAGCCGAAATGAGGAAATCTAATTGGTTATTTCAATCATTGCTAGGCTGGCCTTTAAGGCCACCCCCTTTTCAAGCTTTTCAGGAAACAACTCTAAGTCAGTCTCAACGTAATCTGTAGCATGTCTTAGGCTGTTTCTACACCTCCAACGTAAATGAGTATCATGAAACCAGTTACATAACACCCCTGAATGTAATACAAGATTCAAGTCTTGACTCGATAGCTGAACCACCTTCAACTGAATATAAATTTCAATCAGTTTCTGGATTTTAGAGAAATAAAATATATCATGACAAAACGTAATAATTTAATGTATGATTTCATACCAATTTGTTAAACAAGTTGAAGTATTCAGGGATACAGAGGTATCCACTGAGACAACTGTTGCGTTCAGCTGATAGTCTTGAGTAGTACAACATTATAAGTCAAACATGTTACATGTTTGTGATCCCAGAATGCAAATAATTCCTGACCTCGAGGACTGGGAATAAAAGTGGACTAGGTATGATTATTATTCACCTTGAAATGCTGAAAAAATTGAGGCTAATTCGACCGAAATCACTTCTATAACAGCTGTAATAACTGTAAGAGTTGCATACAAACGCAGTTGGATCGATGCATGTTTCTAGTATCGGCAGTGTGATCTCACTGAATGGTTTTTAAGCCGCAACTTCATTTCTTTTCGTTTTAAGTTGGTGAGTAAATGAAAATAATGAGTCTAACAACTTTTACAGATATGACTTAGCAATAGTTACCTGAAATTTCTTGCATCACCAAATTGAAGACTAATCTATTGAATTTTTGAGGGAGTTGTGGAGATTTGGAAATATTTCAAGTTGTTATTCAGCGTAAACTGACATGAGTTGGAGGAACAAAGTAAACCTGGGGCAATGGACAGCTGTTTCGTCCTAGTATGGGACTCCTCAGCAGTGCGCACCCGCGACCTCGCTAGGACGGAACAGCTGTTCAATGCTCCGAGGTTTCCTTTGTTCCTCTAACTCATGCCAGTTTACGATGAATAACAACTTGAAACTAATCTATTAGTTACAGACTGATCTGTTAACAAGCTCTAATCCAGTTCGTAGTCCTTCGAATGATGGTCATTTAGTCTGTTTGGTCGCTTATTTCTTGTTATGTTGGTGTGATTCCTATATTTTCTTTTGTAAATGGGCAAAGGATATCATATAATGCAATATAATTACATGGTGCAGCTATGGTGTTCCCAGTAGTCGCTAAAATCAGACATTCTTTTTGATTATTTATCTACCTGAAGCGACAGATAAGAGTTTACCTCAAAAATATCAGATCCTGCAAAACTTTACTTTACCTGGCATTAGAAAATGTTGTCTGAGTCGTATACCTGTCTGTTTTTCATTGATTGATGCAGTATGTCTATAGAACCCAAGAACGGAAGGTGATATATGTTGCTGTAACAAATAATAAAAGCTATGTCAGTTGAAGTTGTTTGCACTTGTTCAGTTCTCCTAAAAATCTTTCCATCTGGTTAAAATATCAACTTTCAGTCAAGCTGTGGCTTGCTGAGTGAGGTGTACAACTTTCAACCAACGCATCGTAGATTCACTGGGTCTTGGAAAGCCAAACAGAATAGACAGTCGTCACATAATAGACGTAATTTATAAACTAATACATCAGCTTGCATATTTTTCGCATACTTTCGTAGTAAGTTCGGTAAACATGTATATATAACTCTTTACTTGCCTTCGAATAACTCTCCTTCCAATGGTCTTTTCCGTTTTTCAGAGCACTTAGTCGTATTGTTTGTTGCATCATGTTTATTGTTTCAAAATCAAAATTTGTGGTTGTTTTGCAACTCATCAACTTCTAGATTGATAGTAACCACCGATATTTAATGTGTTTGGATCTCGATTCTCAGTATTTTATTGGAAATCTCGGTTCACTACTTGCAGCCTGTATAAACTTCTCTCCATAACTCTTAGCCTTAACTTTTAACTGAAGTCCCTTAAATACTGTTTTGGAAAAGCTCAGTAACAACAGTGTAGTCTACTTGGTAGATAGAAGTGGTATCCTGGACCAGTGTTTCGTCTTATTTGGGATTCGACAGCTGGAGATGCCTGCACCCCAGTGAGTGATGCTGTTCCCACTGAGACTTGAGCCCAGTACTCACCGCCCCAAACGTTAAAGCGTTTTCCACTAGGTCACTGGGCACGAGAACCATCACTTTTGCAATTAATACTACTTTATTTATCGTTCCCTGTGATTTTCTGTTGCAATACAGAATCAAACTGCTCGACCTCTGTTGGAAGATGGGCTTCTATGCAAAAGGTTGTTTCAACTCTTAACAAGGATGAGGTGTTTCGATCCTCTCTTATATTGTCACCATCTTTTTCAGTAGCTTAAATAATCATTGAAGGACAAAACGAGTATCATAATTAATGACCATGTTCAGAATATGGAAATCAGTTGAGCAAAATAGGAGATTTCGACTACACATTATTCGCTACATTTCCTTTTCAGTGTATTTTGTCGTCTATCATTGTGGTGGCATTGAAAAATATCTTGGTACATCCGAAGAAACTACCCTATTTATGGCGTACCTATAAACCAGACTTTGTAAGCGATGAATCTCTAAATTTATACGACAATTGAGTTCTTTGATGAATTATCAACTATAGAGTACATTTCCAATTTTGTTTATCTTGCTTATATAATAATCATGTTTAAAAGGTGTTGGCTAAATTATTCCAGTCAGTTGACCAAATTCTCTAATTTTCTTGTGTAAATGTACTTTTTGATGGTTATAATCAACCAAAAGTGGATAGAGTTATTTCTAATTATTCGACTAGTCAATGACTTTGTTACTGATATGTCAATGAGTTCAATGCTTGGTTGTTTAATTATCACCGTCACACTGAATAAAAACTATTGTTTGGCAAAGACAACATTCCAATCTGTTATAAATTAGAAGTTGAACTCTGATATCTACGAATCCAATGATTTAATGTAACCATTCAATCTAATCTGGGGGTTATTTGCTGAATTTTTGTCTAGGTGCGTTTTATTAGAGAGTCATATTCCTGCAAAGGGCGATACTTAAAAGCTATCCAACCATTTTCATTGATACCTGTAATGTCTTAACAAATGTAGGAAGTCATAAGGAGGTACACTTTTATTAGTGTTGTTTGGTAGCACTTCCTGGAACAAAGTTTCGTGCCTATTGGTAGTCATTTAGAAGGCTTTTCTGTGATATCGAGGTGACTGATGTCCCATGAGATATTCAAATCTTCATCATACAGTGTTGTAGTTAGAGATATTACCACTAAGTTATTTGGAGTGTGGTTGACTTCCCGTCGAACTGAAGTGGATACATAGACTAGTCACTGGAGAGTGACTAGTTTCATGTTACTAAGTCCTTTTACAGTGTGGTCAGCAAGCTCTGGGTGACTGGGTTTCCAATCTTTGAATAGGCCAACACTCCCCTTATGTGACCTTTTGGTTGCCTTGGCCACCAAATTTGAATTATTTGTCCAACAGAACTTTATGAAGACGGTCAGAAATGTTAGAGGTAACTCGTTATTAATATTAGAGTAAAACTAGGGTACTGTGGCAGGATGTAATTCCCTTTTAGGTGGTTTATTAGAAGTGTTACCTAGTGGAACAGTGTTGTCCACTGGATTACGTTTCGGACATAATTTTTTGTTCATAGTCATATGAAGATAACTACACAACTTGTGTACATCCACATGTATATTATGATCAGTCTGTCGAGCAAGCCTGTTACTAAAAACATTTTTGTAGGCTGTCTAGTAACTGGTGTAAAACAACACTTACGAATTTATATTTGTTGGATCTAAACCAAAATTTATGGAAGAGAACAGTCCGCCTGAAAAATTTCCTGTTGTTGAAGCATTGAATGTTTCTGGCAGATCTTTTTTCTTCTGTTAATTGTGCCATTTATCCATTGGTGTATTCACTTCAATGGCTGTTTTTTTATTAAACTGCTACATAGTTCGATTCATTCAGAACTTAAAGATCATAAATTTTACTGACGTTGCGTGATGATCAAAGATGAGATAAAAACCTAAGTCGCTGTAGGCTTCTAACTAATGGTCTCTGGATTAACTCTCTACCAGCTGAGTTATGGAGCTTTGTCGCCACTGAGGTCTTCATTTTACCCTCCACCTTCACAGCGTATCAGTTATACCAATCTGCTGAACGAATATTCCCATAAGTAATAAAGTTTCCCTCATCTTTTAATCATCATTATAGTTATTGTAGCTGTTTTGTTTTATTCTTTTAGGTGCTATTCCTAGTAACATTCCTGAGTACTGTAGTACTTGATGTTACTTATGGACTAATGGTTGGTTTAGTTGCTTGTGTTTTTGCGTTGTCCGAGAAACAGCGCAGTGTAAAATTGCTTGAATTACAAAATGTTCCAGGCACAGAACTTTACGTTCGCAAACATTTTGAGGTAAGTCAAGTTTTCGATGTATGAAGAGAGGGACACGACAGGTAGAGAAATTTCACAGTAACATATGATGGATGACAGTTCTTTGGAATGCTAATCATTCTCTTTAGTAAAGTATATCGTTAGTCTGTGAGACAGTTTTGTCCCGTCTAAGATGTGAGATTTGCAACTGGAACTCCCGGACACAGCGGTAGATTTGGTTAGAAAACTACTCAAGTAAAAGAAATGCAAGTGTAATTAGCTTACTTTGTGGAACAGCGTATAAACTGTAATATAATATTTCTAGCAGCTGTGTTTAGTTCATGAGCTATTTTCTAAAGTCACTCACATTTTTCCAGGGAGTTGGGATTGTCCCTATAGAACTGACACGGCAGATCTCAACTAGTCAAGTAGATTAATAGTAATTTTCGGCAAAATACGTCCATAATCTTCACTGCTTGCGACTACTTGAATTACCTAACTACAGCAATGTAAAACTTTGGGGTTTTAATCCGTTTGGAAAGAATTGTTAGGATACTTGGAACGTAGGAGTTCTAAACCTCAGCAAAATATCTTTCAAATGCTCTATTAGTTATATTTTTTTCGCATTGAAACACTAATTGGATTCAAATGTTTTCTTAAAAGTAGCCTCAACAAATCAAACATGTTTCAAGTAGGAATAGACTAGTGAAGTCTGAGCTGTTTTCAGTGGAACTTACTTTGGATTATTGGATCCTTTATTCGGTACTAAACTTGGATGAGCTTTTTTTCATTTTGTGAAACAACAAATTTTGATGTAGTAACCTTGAGACTAGATACTATTTCAAATCCCTACCTTAACCTTTCCAGGAAACGGTTTGAAAATTTCATGTGTAAAATCAATCTGTCATGATAAAACTTCATCATGTCACCAAAGCGGTACTTAGATTTGGCAAGATTCCCGAAGACAAAGATATAAATTGATCAGTTAGGTCATACTCAAAATGGCTTAAAACCCCGTAAGTTATCCTCACAACTCTCCATCTTCATAAATATCAAATTCCTAATGTGCAAGACTGATGCAACCTAGTTTTTCGAAAAGAAAGTAAAAGAATATAGCAGACAATCACTGAGAACAGTATACTTCTTTTCATGAGACTATATGTTCACTCATAAAGCTAGTGAAACAGTGAATCTGTTGACATAGCCTGCCATAAATCATCCATTTCGTTTACTTGACATCGTAATTTATAACTAAGTTCTTCTTATAAACAGCGTACAGAAGGTAGTTATCTGAAGCTTTCGTGTTGAAAGCTTCATTGCCCCATTTCATTCTTCTTCTGGTTGCTTAAGTCTTTAATTCCATATTAGATTTGTTTATTTGATATAAAGCGCACAGTGATACAGTATTATTTACTTGATTACGTTTCGAGCATAAATTATTGCTCATAATCATATCAATGTAATCACACTTCTTTCGATATCTGATTTTATAGTCCTGTCACCTGATCTCTCTTTGTTTTTTGATTTGTAGTAAAGTTTTCCATATCTCTGGTATAGGTGTTGCGTCATTCCTATTACATGTGTTCGGTGTGGATTCGATGAACAAAGATTCAGTAATTAATCTCTCTCTCCACCTAGCTATATTAGACTTAAGTACAGTGGTTTTGTCCCACCCTATTGTGTGGTTGTGTGTTAATGAATGTAATGTAATGGCCGAGTGTTTTTCTAGATTATTGATCTTATTGGGGTATGTCGTTCTATGTTTAGCTAAATTCCTATGTTCTGTTAATCTAACTGACCCCGACCGGCTAGTTTGACCTATGTATTTGACTTCACAGTCATTTCATGGAATTTGGTAGATTATATTATTTTGCTTAATTGGTTCTATCGGATCTTTTAGCCGACAAAGCTTACCTCTAAGTGAGTTTGTTGGTTTAAATGCCACCCTAATTCCAACCTTGTTGAGAATCCTACGTATGGTTTCTGATGTTCCTTCCTTGTATGGTATGGTACCATACGTAGGATTCTCAACAAGGTTGGAATTAGGGTGGCATTTAAACCAACAAACTCACTTAGAGGTAAGCTTTGTCGGCTAAAAGATCCGATAGAACCAATTAAGCAAAATAATATAATCTACCAAATTCCATGAAATGACTGTGAAGTCAAATACATAGGTCAAACTAGCCGGTCGGGGTCAGTTAGATTAACAGAACATAGGAATTTAGCTAAACATAGAACGACATACCCCAATAAGATCAATAATCTAGAAAAACACTCGGCCATTACATTACATTCATTAACACACAACCACACAATAGGGTGGGACAAAACCACTGTACTTAAGTCTAATATAGCTAGGTGGAGAGAGAGATTAATTACTGAATCTTTGTTCATCGAATCCACACCGAACACATGTAATAGGAATGACGCAACACCTATACCAGAGATATGGAAAACTTTACTACCAATCAAAAAACAAAGAGAGATCAGGTGACAGGACTATAAAATCAGATATCGAAAGAAGTGTGATTACATTGATATGATTATGAGCAATAATTTATGCTCGAAACGTAATCAAGTAAATAATACTGTATCACTGTGCGCTTTATATCAAATAAACAAATCTAATATGGAATTACATTCTACCACAGTCCCCAAGTTTTTCACTTATGCTTAAGACTTTGCCTGTTTTCCTTTTTATGTTGTCTGAATACAGAGGAATATGGAGCGCCAAGAAGGTAATGATTACTCAATAAAGCTTAATTCCTCTGCCTCATCCATATTCCAGAAGATAACAGAGCGTACTGTTGTAAACTTTTGGTTTAGTCAAACACTAAGTACACTCTATTTTTTAAAAGGCTGCTGCTTCAAAAATAAGAATCTACCCTATTTGCAGCACAAAACAGCAGAATTTTATTGTGTATGGGTAGTTTTACCGATTAAATTAGGCTTTAGGACTATCATGTATGAGTAATTTTGCTGCTGAATTTCAACTCATAACTCGTCAAACTTCCAAGGAATACCAATTTTTACCTTTCAGCGTTGTTTAGTATGCGATGTTCATCCTTACTTTATGTTATTGAATAGATACAAGTGGTTGTCGACAGTCGTCGACAAGATGGATCTGCCGATCTGAGGGAATTTATATCCTTTCATAAACTGGAACGCATGTCACTCAGTGTGGCGTCCATTGACATTGCTACTGAGCTGTTTGTAACACTGCTGGACTCCTACAGAACTGTCTGAATCAGCTAGCGTTAGGCCAAAATGCACATTTATACTGAGTCACCTACCTTGGTGACCACATTGCAAAATGATCGATAGAATTCCGTCAGCATTCAGGACTTAAACAACGTGAAATGGCTTGCTATCAAGTCACTATTCAATGATAAATAATATGGAGTTTACTTTTCAGTGAGATTTTAGGAATGAGAATTTGTCAGGCAAAACCGAATTACTTATAATCCGTAAAAGTGTACCAATAATATTTCTAATTTTTCAAACTACTTATAAAAATGTAAGTTAAGGACCAAACTTTGGGACCAACCAGGAAATACGATAAATAATCGTAATTCTGGCCAGGCGGAGGTAAAACTATATTCAGCTAACCAGTAAAGAATAGAGAGCTCTTAAGAAACTGAAGAACAGAAAGAACATCCTTATAATTCCGGCTGACAAAGGGTTCACACAGTTGTCATGGATGAAGACCACTACATCAAAAAGGTGGAAGACTTACCCATGAACCCAAAATGTATACCAATCAACTGAGACAAATCCCATTCAAAAATTGGATTCTCACATCACCAAGATCTTGAACAAACACTTCAAACCGGGACAAATTACAAAACAAAACCAATAGTGAATGAAATCTAATGGACCTGTTCTCCTAAATTTCTGTGGTAGACCAAACATACACAGAACAAACATTCCACTATGACCAATTGTTTCTCTTACGGGAATCCTAGCATAGAATCTTTCCAAAGGAGTGCTCAGAAAACTAAACATTTGGTAGAATCATGAGACCAGTCTGTCAACTCTTCGACACAATTTTTGAGAAAGATCAGGCATATTCGTATTGACAAAGATGAAATTATGGTGTCTTTTGGTGTTACTGCTCTGTATACCTCAAGTGGACTACAACCTGCCAAGGATACAGTGACTCTTTTCCCTAAAGATGATACACACCTTTCGGAACACACAGAACTACAATGTTCAAGTTTGATGGAATTAACTGATTTATGCCTTACAATATATTTTCACTTCACCGGTAAACTCTACAGACAGACAAAAAGAACACCAATGGGATTGCCAATATCAGAACCGATATCAGAAACAGCAATGCAGAGATGGAAAACTGTGGTGTTGCAGCTGATCAAACCAAAATGTTGGGTCCGATATGTAGATTACACATTTTTCATCATTAAAAGGAACGGACTGAAAAACCTTTACAAGTTAATCAACAACATTTTCGATGACATCAGATTCAAAATTGAAAAGGAATCAAATAACGAACTTGCATTTTTAGATGTTCTAATCACTAGAAAGGTTTCGGGAAAAGTCGAAACTGAAGTATACAGAAAACCAACTCATGCGAATCAAATCCTCAACTACAGTAGCAACATTGTTCAAAAGAGCGAAGCCACATTATAGTACATCAACTTTACGGGGAAAAAAGAAAATTATTTTCCAGAGGAACAGCCATCCAGGGAACTTAATCATAAAATGTTTGTCTTATTCGTCGTCAACCAAAAAGTTACCCTTGGAAACCAACAAACGGATTGTCATACCTTACATGAAGAACGTCTCCGAGGTCATAACTAGATTATTGAAGCCTTTTGAAATGACCCTAGCTCACAAGTCCACGAAATCTCTTCAGTCTCTGTTATTAAATCCAAAAGATGCAATAGCAAAGGAAGACAAACCAAACATTATTTACAAAATTAACTGCAGGAACTGTGAAAAACACTACATTGGACAGAGTAGTCGCCCTCTTTGTATTCGTCTACATAAACATCAACTTGCAGTAAAGCATCATAATATATCTTCGTTCATATCAATGGATACGGACAACTGTGGACATGAATTTCACTGGGAAAATGTGAAAATCCTGAATAGAGGAAACACAAAGAATGTTAGAGAATTTCTAGAAACTTTGTATTCAAATAAGTCATGAATCAACAGATATTTTGACATTGACCCAACCTGTCAACCAATAAGAAACAACGAGAAGTTCAGAGTTCATATCGACAGGACAACCAATCGAAATAAATATAGAAATAATGACAAGACTTTAACAGAAACACTTAATCACACACAACGCCATCAGAAGAAGATACTAAACAACTTGTGGAGACAAACCTATAGATCACTAGTTTTGGAAGTATGTGCTGATGGCATGGTCTAGAATGTCAATGAAAGCTTCATGATTAAAGCATCCAGGCCAGAGAACACAACACTATCAAAATATAGAAATGTAATCTGAAACTTTTGAACGTTGTCTGTGATACTTAACTGTCACTGTGTTCTGTAATAAGTAACTGCATCCTCTGACACAACAGAGATGTTCGTTCAAAATATTTTCGTACTCAATGCTCAATGTCTCCCATTTTGTTCTGATGGCTGGCTGACGTGAAGATGTCCTTTGTAGTTTCTTTCATCCTTCAATTCACTTTCTGTTCTGGATGTTGAACGTGAACTGTGGCCGTCTATCACCAACTTCTTTGAAGTCTTTCAACCTGATTTGGAATGTAGGTTACTTACACTAGACAATGTTTGGTGTGAACAACCTACGTCTGCTCCACTTCTTCATCTGATCTTGTGTCCAGTAAGCTGACTGCGTCTCCACTTTCTTCACATTGACATGAAGTTGATCTGATTTTGAGTGTGTCCTGGTGTCTGGTCAAGTCCATGTCACTCACTGCCTTGTAAATATCCATGTGTTTGTACACACTGCCTCACCTCCAATCACCAACTCGTTGAATGCGCAGAAATCTCCAAACACTTCTCCGTTCTCATTCATCACTTCACCGAGTGCTTCTCAACCCATGATGAGTTCTCTTCCTGTGCTTTCCGCTCTCAGTTTGGCGTTCATGTCATCCCACCCATCAGAATATATTTTGATGTAGCCACTGGGTTTGGATCTTGTTTATTGCTGATTGCAGTTGTTTAGAGAAATTTTCCTTCTTCTCCTGATCTGCTTGATTATTTGTAGTTGCACAGCGTAGCAGTGTATGATTGTGACTTACCTTCCCTCCTTTTGAGTTGAACCTTACTGTCATGATGCTGGAGGAGACTGGTTCCCACTGCATGAGAGCCCTCAATGATTTTGGAGACATCATGATAGCCACTCCACAACTCAGTGTTCTCGTGGTTGTCGTCTGGGTGACACTATCGGAGTAGACTATTGACTCTGCAGTTAGGAGTATAAGGAGTTCACTTCCATTCCATCTGCAGATTCCTCACAGATTCCTAGCACTTCTATGCCATACCTTCACTTCTCTTGGCAATTTGGGGAGCCTTACCAGCGAGCAGGCTTCAAACATTGTGTGGACATTTCATGTCCCCATTCTTACTCCCGCTTTCATCGAGATGAGAGAAGACACATTGGTGAACTGGCTTCCTGAAGGCGTCACTTTGTCTCTCCGAATCCAGTGAGGAATAAGTTTGTTTTTCTGTTTTATATTTTCTTTGTGCTTTGAAGTTTCTTTAGCGATTGGATTTGTTTTCCGGGGTAGGGCTGTTAGTCCTACACCCAACCTTCCCTCTTTACCCAGACTGAGGACCGGTTGGTGACTAGTGAACTAGTTAACCAGGCGTGACTGTGTGTATTATAGTACCCACTTTACTCATTTTTCAGCGTTTGGTAGGATAGATTCTTGTGATTTATCGTCTGTCCACTGACAGTATCCTTTCCTTATATTCCGATCATATATATCAAGATTCTATGATTTGTCAAGACGCATATCTGTAACTTACTCAGTATTGTTTAAGTCATCGTTCTGGCTTATATTTACGTTTCTGAACAAGACAGTCATCTACTTCAACCACATCACTTACCCCACCAATCTTGACATTCAACCTGTATATTGTTTCCTACCAAATATCTATGCAGTGCTGATATCAGTGCATTAAATAAACTTCAGAACATTTGTTAGAGATCCTGTTCTACAACCCAATCGGTGTGTGTTGGAGTCTTAGAAGAGATTCCCCACTAAACAACCTTGTTCTCAAAGATTTTTTTTATAGCAGCTGGGAAAACAAAATATTCCACTATACCTTTCTTCCTTGTTAGGTACTCAATCCATTACAAAACCACATTCACAATTTAGAATCCTGGCAACCAAATCCACTAACTGTAATTAACGGAAAACGTAATCTTTGTCATAATTCGTCAATTCATTCGGCGTCGGCAACACGGTAAACGAAGTTAACGAATAACAGTTAATGCAGCAAGTTCAACCTGATTGACAGTGTTCAAGGTTTCCCGTCACTAAAGTTTAATTCTGCCAGCTTTCCGGTAAGAATAGGGACACTTAATTGATTACTTTGCTTCTTCGTTTGTGGAGCAGTGGTGAAGCGAATAAGGGCATAACACTTGTACCAGGCCTTAAAAAGCACTTACTAATTATTATCAGAATACATTAGTTTTAGCGTAAGCGAATTCCGGCTGAATTAGCTCACAACATACATGTAAAGCGGAGCAACGTATCATTTATAAGTGGACAGTATTAAAGGCATCTTCTCATCTTTTTTCTTTCTCATTGGCATTTTAATTTCCGCTCAGCTGTTAACTAACACACAAATCAATAAAACACAATATGACTACCTATCATCGTCAATTAAATCCGTACGTGTTTTGGGTTCATTGAATTTCTCATCATTTGAAAATTTCACAAGCAGTATTTACAAGGTGATTGATCATATGGCCGTAGAATGTGAGAGATTTAATCAGTCCATCAAGTTGTCAAGTGGTGAATCAGATTCGCTGACTATAAATATTACTAAAATTCACCACTAGACAATGGAATTCCTCAGAATGAGTGTCTTAAACATCGCCAGATTAGCGTAATATGTGAGGATGCCGATAGCAAGCATACTGAGGACAAACCGCTCACTGCAGTTCAACAGAAAACGTCATCGAAGATAAATGACAGTTATTTTCTTACAAATTGTGACATGGTCAACAGACCGAATGAAGTGAGTAAACTCTTGAAAATTTTACGCTTTATAATAATTTTACATGTTACTTCCAAGTAGTGACATTAGGTCCACATATATGAGATTCTCCTCGCTCACGGACATAACTTATTCACGTTTTTCATCAACACCATTACTGGAGTTTGGGGATAAAATCTGTATGTTGTTCTTTTCAGTTAGTGTTTTTGCATTAACTGGTTAGGGAAAGATTTTTATCTAACCAAATTGTCTTTGGGAAGGTGTTTTACCTGAATGCACTTTGTCGTTATTGAAGGAATCATGAAAATTAAGCAGTGCTAGGCGACTGCTGTATTTTAGCTCATGACTACAAAGTGTTACACACTCTGAAGTCTTCCACAGGATGTCACCAAGAGTTTTCAAGTATCGTTGTGAGCACTTTATCCCTTAACCACCGCGTCGAAATCTTTCGGTCTACTCTCGGAAAATTCCTGTTGGATTAAGGTCAAATGTTGCCTTACTTTATTGCATGGTAGTCATATAACGTCACAAAATGAAGAATGGTTGAAACATTTTTGATTGGTCGTATATACACCACTGACTGTGCTGCGTATTTGGTTCACAGTGCTCAGTATTTGATGTTTGTAAGCTGAGATGACACTGTTCCCTAGTGCGCTGCTGTTTCCTCTAACTTTTTAAGATATTTTAGTCCAAAAGAACAATGCTGTCGTCTGGTTATTTTTTTTTATAAACCACTCATTTAAATATTAGCGATCAGAGTAGAAAGTAATATGAAAATCGTATTAGGAGTGAAGTAACTTTACTGAAATATTGGTAAATGAGGACAACTCAGAAATAACAATACTGACGACGTTAATGGTGAAATGGAAGGTCCGCAGTTAAAGTAATTAGCAAATACATAATAACTGGTGGTGAGTAGGATACAAGATTACTACCGAAGATATATGAGATAGTTGCGTGAAAACACGAAATAGGTTTCTGATTCTCTGTGATTTGTTGAATTGTTTTCAAGATGATCCTTTTTATATATGACAGTTGGTGATTAAGTTATAAGATGCTTCTGCTTCTTCAAAACTTAATAGTTTACAAAATGTATATCAATAAAAACAATTATGGATTAGTGAAAAATGTCTTCTATCTAGGTTGAATTACACTTGCTATGGTTAATCAATTTAAAAAAGCGGTAAATGAACAAAACTGAATGAAAAGTACTCTCAGCTGATTGAAAAATTTCTCTTCAATGTGAATTTACGACTAGTAATAAATAAACATGAAAAGGAGAAAATTAAATGAATTCACAAATTCTAGTAGTACACCTTAACTAGTTATCAGACATATGTATTATGTTTACCATGATATAACATAAAGATAGGAGTGAGTGTGTTAAGAATTCAAGACACTGAACAGAGTACTGAAAGATAAATGAGGAATTTAAAATGTATAGTGTGTGTTGTGCAGTTTGGAAGCATCCTGATTCCTATGAGCCCATCTACCAACAGACATCGAGCTATTCGACCCTGTATTGCAATGAAAGATAAAAATATTAAACAACAACCAATCCCCATTGCACAAGAAGTTGCTGTTGTACACACTGGCCTATTGGGTAACGCTTTGGCGTTTGAAGCGATGGGTACTTGGTTCAAGTCTCAGTGGAAATAGTATCATAGACTGGGGTTCAGGTAAATCCTGCCGACGAGTTCCAAACAGGATGAAACACGCATCCTGGATTCCACTGCTAGTCCCGAAGCAGGCATCAATGTAGTGTAAATTGTTTGAATGCTGTATTTAATGTAGAGATAAAAAGTAGTAAATGGAAATTGAACAAACTCACAGCTGTTACGACAAAATACGGTGGATTGAAAAATAGTGTGATAGGCGGAGAGAAGGGAAACCAAAATACATTCTAGATGAAACATGCAAACAGAGGTACAAGGGGTAATAAAATAACTTTTTGTGATTGTCATTACTCTATTGGCTTTTGAGAGAGATGACAGTTTTGTGTTCGTGTTTTTTCGCTTCATAACTGCAGTCAAACATGAACTTGACTAATCTTTGAAGACAATTTATAAGAGACTGAACATAGGCCTCGTATTTGACGTAGGTAATTAGCTAAGCTCATATGATAGAGAAAATTGATGTCATAAGAGTAGTTACCACTAACTTACCTAATCTGTGACCTATCAGTTATAGGCTGAAATAATGCGCATAAGTCACGCAGCAATACCTATTCTATTTGGTGGTTTATGGAGGATCTATTGATTTCAAGATGGTACTCATCATGAACTGACATCAGTTGGAGGAACATTGGAAACCCGGGAGCACTAGACAGCTGTTTCGTCCTGGTGTGGGACTCGTCTACAGTGTGCACCCATGACCCACGGTCATGGTCATCTCTCCAGTGCTCCCAGGTTCCCAATGTTCATCTAACTGATGTCAGTTCATGACGAATAACAACTTGAAATGCCTAGTCTGCTTCTACAATTGTTGAAAGAATATTCCAAATGATGAAGGTCAGCTGAGCACCAGTATCACAGCAAGAATTGAATTACTAGTCTTCGGGTTTTCTCATCCAAGTTCCCAACTTCACTTAAACCACTAAGAGTTTCACCCGGCTACCAAGTAAATCGGCTGTCAACTCAGGTTTTCTCTTCCTGGTACCAGTCGGGTTGAATTAGAGAGAGGGGTGCGTCACACTATTTATTTATGAGATTATGTAAGATATTCACCGACAAGGTATATTTTTAATGTTCTGTTCTGGATCTTGACTGTATTATTCCAGGTAAGCGAAATAGAGAGAAACAATTGCTCCTTTTATTCGTCAAAAGCTGCTCCTTCCCTGTACACTGGAGTAAATGAAAATAAAACCAATTGTGTTGACAAAAAGCCAATGAGATTTCTTCTTTTGGATATATCTGGCATAACGCACATTGATCCATGTGGAGCAACTGCACTGACTGAACTCCAAAGAAGTTTATTCAGAAGTAAACTCTATATGATTCTTTGTGGAGGTAAATTTATCAATGTTTTATTGCTGGGACGTTTCTTACATTTCAAAAGTAATACAAAAACTGTCCGAATTTTGCTTGACAAAGGCTTTAGTACAATTCTAAGGGTGAATATTTCTAAAGCTCAGAAAACGTCTAGTTTCTTTGGGCAGTCATATTTTTCCTTGTCTATCAAGGCTACACTACCAAAAAATACAAACAAAATGAAATATAATCAGACGATGAATTTCAGTCTAAATGTCTGAAAATGCCTCGAATTCGATAAGCTTGAATGAACTAAGCAGAGCTGTATCTATTCAGCTGTCTAGTAACGGTTGTCTGGTCATGATGCACCTTGGTTTACATCTAGCTGAACTACCACTTTGAGCCTATGCAATTTTCAGTGTTGCATGGAATGACATTCAATTATAACTCCGTAAGTAAGCGACATGATAAACTGTTGCAATAGGTGGGGTAAACCAAGCCGGAGGTGAGGAAAAATACTCAGCGATAGCGTTGGACAAAGGTCACGCTACATAGCTGATTGGCAGAAGTAGGAAAAATGTGAACCTTTAGATTCTGACCCACTGACTCAATGGTAGCGTGCTCTCCACAAAACCTGAAGGTCTTGGATTAAATCCCTGTCACGGTCATGAGTGCGTACTACTGAGGAGTCCCACATCAGGACGAAACAGCTGTCCAGTGCTCCCAGGTTTCCAATGTTTCTCAAACTGATCTCCGTACCAGCTGGAAATCAATGAGTTCTCACAAACCTCCAAAATGAAAACTAATTTATCATATACATCAAAGAAGTCGTTTACTATCTGACAAACGATGTATTGCACATAGTTTAGGTAGACTCACGTTATTCTTCCCCGACTGTTAACTTGATACGATGGTCCGGCTTGCACGTCACAATGATGCGACGAGCTATAATGGATGAAACAATTGTTGTTTCCGATCTTAACATACTAGAATAGTTTTGTGAAAAGTAGTAATACTAAAAGCAGTTATCGTTATGGCGTAAACTGCTACGTAATGATGAGGTTCTGAGGGTGAAGTCGCATTACTGGTTGTACCTGTGTGACAGTGGTAAGGTGTTTTCATAAGTGACCAGTATTTCATATAGATATAGCCTTTTCTTTTCTTAGGATGGGTTAGAAAAAGTTGGCATTAAAAGTAGAACACTACTATTTATCCTGAGGTCTTCAAGTGTCGGTGGTATAGGTCTTTTTCGCCCGATGGTAGCGTAATGAGGTATCAATTCAGGATTTTTATATAGGTCGTGTGTAATGGGCCTCAATTAGATGTACCATGAGCTCCGTGGTTACCCATTTCTATTACTTACAGGATTTTGCACATTCCTATCAGCTGGGAATTGTCAACTTTCATTATATTCCCGTCAGCACTCAAATCTATTTTGATCTCCACCAGCCTTTTGCATCTTTTCCTCCTCCTCATCTTTCTTTACACCTCTATGTTATTAATCTTAGGCCATCTCTAATTTCCTTCAGTTCTGAACCTGTTGATGACGATTCAAGTCTTCAGAATTGCATCGCTCACATCCTGAAGTCGTTATCTAAACTATATGTTAGAGTATTCAATGTACGCACCCTCCATCAAATCAAACAGCGGAATTCACTGGCCAAAATTCTGACATCTCGAGCTATGAACGTGTGTTATGTTTACGAAAATGCATATAAGGCCCATATGAGGTTATTTACTTAGCATGAACCGGCCAATGTGGTGAATCTGTGAAACTTACTTTTCAAGTTAAATGAGACTTGGCAGCCAGTTCTTGTAGTCTTTTAGGTGTAGGCTTAACGCCCCAGTCCTAGAGTAGACAGTATATTGCTTAACTGAATCCCAGGTGGCAGTCACCTGTGGTTTGTTTGACTCAGTGGTGTCGTGACGACCAAAAGGAATGGTGGAAATCACCGTTGTATCTTCGAAGTTTATGCTTACTGATCGACTGACTGCAGTTCGGTTGAAGTAAAAGATGAGTTCTACTTCAAACCGTCTAGCTTCCCACTGAAAAATAAATGTTCAGACGTGGTTGTTGTAGAAGGTCGCTTCGATGCACAAATGCTTAGGCTATCAAGCACAAACGCATTCAAGTGGCAGTTTTGGAATCCCAGTCAAGCAAACCAAAAATGGCGTTTGCCTGCTACGACTATCCTCAGACAACTAAATATTTCTGGTCAGCAGCAACTTCAGGTATAAAAAGAAACATTATCTGACATGGTGTCTACTGAATTCAACTCAGCCGCTGGTATAGGTAGACCATATTGTTATCACTTACCGCCGGAGAGGGTAGGTAAAGGTTAATCGATTGTTTTACAGCACGTACTTTAAGAGTGAATGAAGTTTATAAACTTCGTCTTCTAATTACGCTATCGAAATTCATAAAAGGGACTAACTGTTTCAAATGCTTGAGAATGTCGTATGAATCTTATTAGCCTCTTCTGAATTAATGGATTAGCTTGAATGCAGCATCCGAGCACAATGAGAAGGTGTGTAGGCAAAGAGCATGACCAGGGGTCTGCAGTGAAGGTTGAAGAGAAGAAAAAGATAGCGGCAACAGATAACACGAAACAGTTATTCAGACTGATTAAGTGAAGCTAGCGGACAATGAACTTCAGAAAGTCAAGCAGGTTTCAAACCTAATCGTTGCTGTATTCGTCCAACCTTAGTCTTCAATCAGATCCTCGAAGAGGCACACGTATCGATGCATGATGTGAACCGTATTTCTTGATTAGAAGGTGGGATTTTACTCCAACAATCAACAGCCTTGATGGAAATGTCTCCTATTGAAATTAGTTCCCGACAAGTACTACTTTGAAGTTACTTTATGTGTGTCAGAACCCTTAATGAGGCATCAAATGAGTTGTATGCCTCATATAGTGTCCATCAGAAATGTTTACTCTCTCCACTTTTATTTACTTTGTCACAGATATGCTTGTGGAAATCATCCTCTTCTTTCTGACTTCACAATAATTGACCTTTTCAATGGAGACTGTTTAGTGGGTCTAGAGCACGCAGATGACATAGCTCTTTTAGGCGATGACGCTGGCTAGAGATAGAGTCTTCTGAACACTTTGAATGACACTTTCGGAACGTCTGGGATCTGTTCGCCAGTACCCAAATGCAAACTTTTGCTTCAGGACCGAATGGTGTTTGTGCGTCGTCTAACAATAGGAAGTTAATTGTTTGGGTGTGTTAACTACTTCACCTACCTCAAAAGTCAGATCACACACGGTGGGTCAGCGATCGACGAAATCTCTGCTTAGATACAAAGTGCTTGCTGAATCTTCGTTACCTAATGCCGTTTATTGGGCTTTTGGTGATTCCCAATTGTCTGTTAAGGTTATAGTGTACTGTACTGCAGTTTTCTGTGTTCTATCGTATATCTGTGGGAAAAGGCCACTTAGGGTAGAGAAAATGATGAGACCTTAGGTGTTTGATCACAGTTGCTTCCCTGGAGTGTGTTACACGTCGCGTCATAGGTGACTGAGGTAAATCAGTTGACGAGGTACTAAACTTTCATCAACTGCGGTTACTCCATGTGTTAAGCACCTATAGTCATCATCTACACCATCGTGCAGTGTTAACCGAAGTAGATCATCTACCCCTGGAAATTGCTAAAAATAGCAATATTAAAATGGAGCATCAGTTTATGACGTCCTTGACTGTTGATCTGAACCATTTAGGGAAATATAGACTTTATGATTCCAGGTCACATGAAAATCGAAATCTATAGTTGGCGAACTTATGTTGTTTGGCTTTTTATTCGTCCCAACCATGATATCACATTTTCTGGTGATTTTCGCCCCTCTTTCTTTTTCCTGACTTTTCATGACTTCTCTTACCCAACTTCTCTATCTTCATCTTTCATCTCTATGTGCTGATGTGTTGTGTCATCTTGAAGCATTACATATTAGTGCTAGGTCCCATACCATGACTGACACCATTCTTTAAAGTCGACCAGCTTACCTGACCATCAGTTTATGCGCTTCTCTGACGATACTTTTAGAATATCCACGGGATTAGAAATGTTGACAGTTTGTTGTCGCTTTAACAGCTGCTTCAGCAGCATTTCCCAACATCATGTACTTTGAAGCAGTGTCTAACAGAGTATCAAGATGAAGCGAAATTTATGGACTCTAACAGGTAATACCTGGAATTTAACGCTAGTCTTCCACTAGCCGAACTGTAGGACTTGGTTAGTAACTAGGCTTCAAGAGGTACGAATGAGTCTTATCCGCCTTAGATTGATCATCTATAGATGACTATAGAATGTCTGAGAGGATTGTAAAAGTATGTGACCTACAATCTTCAGATTACCGGTTTATTACCCACTGGACTGAGCTAACAAATCTGGTTGTCAGTTACTGCTATGCTGCCAATATTATGCTGAACAGATGGACCATTATAAACAGCAACTACCTGCGAAGAAACATACCGGTGGGCTAGGATATGCCTTCAATGAACTACGGGGTTTGAAAGAACTTATTAATGGCAAGATAGTCTATGTCGTCTGACTGACATCATTGACGAAATCCCTATTCCTTGTACAAACAGTTTTTCCCCATCATATCAGATGATTCTCAAAACTTATCCTCTGTTAATTGTAGGAGGAAAGTTTCCTGCTCAGAATTCATCCAGTGCCTTGAGAAATATGCACCTAAGTATATGATAATCTTCTATAATCACAGTTTGCTAAAGTTAATTCTGATTTAAAAAAATACTCGCTAACAGCATCCGATGTTGGTTGAGTTATTACGTGAATTAGTGCACTCCCCACAAGTGGCTCATCACAAGATCTGACGGTCCTGGTTCCTGCTCCTTCTGGAGTCATGGGTTTGCACTACTGAGAAATCCCACACTGTGACGAAGTAGTCATTCGGTGCTTCCAGGTTTTGAGTGATTCTCCAACTGATGTCAATCCGTGATAATTACTAACTTAAGCGTAGGGTGCCTTTAAAGGCCATCCTGACAACTTCTGAATTAACCAATCAGGTTTCAGTGTTCCAGTCAGAGAAGTAGTTTTGTACAAAACAAAGTAATTGGTTATCTCAATAGTTGCTAGAGTGGCCTTTAAAGTCACTGCCACTGCTAGCCACCACCAACACCACATAAACAGTAAGAATAACACCTCTTCATCGACGAATAAACTTATTCAAAAACCTGTGTTTTTGAATAAAGACAAGTTAGTACTGACTTTTTAAATCAAAGGTTTAAACATTTGTAATGAACACTTGTTTTATTTAAAACTATTGTTTGCAAAGAACAGTTCAATGTTTGTTTATTTACCTGCTTAATATTGGAAATAACCAAAGTTGATGAAAATAGCCAAGGTGCACGTAGTCAGGGTTTATTTTATTGATTTCGCCATTAACATACAAGCTAACGATTGGTTGTACTTAGTTTAACCAAACTTTGTTCAGATATTTTTTGAGGGTGGAAATAACCTAGTCATGTTATCTGTGAATTTGACATTAAACTACGTACTGTTCAAGATTAAGGGGAACCGCAAGCGTCTGCAGATTGCAGACATTGTTTGGTGACAAGTCAAGTCACAGAGAGAGAGAGAGAGAGAGAAATAGGTTAGTTCTAGGGTTTGTCCTTGCTTTCTTTAAGTATCCAGATATTCTACACATTGGAGGAACGGAACAATGATTAAGTGGAGACTATGACTAACTTAAAAATACGGCAAAAATGTTATGCGATCAGTCAGAAAGCGTAATTTATAATTCAGAATTAGTCATCCTCATCATCTTTCAATGAGTTTCTGGTTTGAGTCCCATCGCATCCATCTGGGTAGTAGCATTATACGGTAACCTCTTGTCCTGCATTTCTCTCCACACTGGTTTTCCTCTTAATATTTCTATCCAAGATTATGTATTCTCTTTGCACGAATTCTTACCAGTTGATCGTCGCTACTTTCCTGGTTCCTTTACCTACTACTTATTTACATCCTTGTAAGTAGATCTCACTACACTGTTTGACAGAAATGATTTATCGCCTGTGTAAATTCAAAAAATAGGTTGATCTTTAGTTTTTTATTTAATGTGCTGAAGGCTTAAACTATTTGACACTCGAGGAGCATAATCACCAGTGTAAGAGATAGCCGAGTACTTTACAGTAAACATAGACAATATTATACACACAGAGATGCATACAGACAGTTTACTAGAAACACTATCGCGATATATGGTCATATAAGAATAATTCATGACCTGAATGGATGTAGACTTTGTGCAACAGTCTAATAATAACAATGAATTTTCGTCGTATTGAATGAATCTGTTTGTTGTGCATGATTGACTTGGTTTGATTGTTTTACTTTGAACAAGTCAGTAATGCCTTAGAGCACTAAAGACTGAATTATTTTTAACTCGCCAGTTTTTTGGTGAGGCCGTCTATCCACATTTGGCCTTGTCTTCCGATGAAACTTGAGTCAGACAGTGAAATTGCGCCTTCTTTTGTGATCATCTAATTTAGAACTGTAACAGTATACTGATAAACAAGTTTCAACGAGAATATTTGCTCAGACCTATCCTCGTTATGAGTTGAACTCGAGCTACTTTTAAGGTCACCCTAGCAACTGCTGAAATAGCGAGGCAGCTTTCAGGTGTTTTGGTTGGAAGACTAGTTATTTTTTAAATGAAGAAATATGATTGGTTATCTCACCAGTTACGAGAGTGGCCTTTGAAATCACTTGCTGGATTCTGGATATCGATTTAAAATGAACGTCGGAATCAAACTGCTTGTGTTGAAGCTTTAACAACCACTGTGGGCTTCAGAGTTATCCATCGCTTATGATAATAACACTTATGAATGACACATTGACAGAAACCTGTACAAAATGAGACTACTTGAATTCCTGTAGATGAAAATCAAAATTTCTACATTTCACTTAGGTGAACAGTTCTTGTTCTTGTCTGCTGGAAATACCTTTGGGTTCTTTTGTTCTGTGCAGTCCATACCATAACACTGACGTTCACAACTTGAAGATGACGTAATGCATCGCAGAGATTTACGCTAAATCCTTCTAATAACCAGTTTATGGATGATAGGCTGTATAAAACTGATAGTAAGGATGGGTAATAGCTAGCGGGGAAATTCACAATACTTATTTCATTCTTTTGGGGACTCATCAGCTCACTGTTACTCCCTAACAAAAAATGATGTTTTATCCCAAGCAGATCAACAACGGTTAATGTTTATTTGTAACACTTGATCAGTATCCTACTGCCTGCATTAATCTTCTTTCTCCAACCACCTTTATTGAGTTTATCAGCTCTAACATCCCCCCTCAGTGACAGGCATGTTGTCTGAGCATTTTTAGTGTGATTAGCTAGTTTTCAACTTTGTGACACTCCGATTATACAAATTGAGAAGTCAACTGAGTGGAAACATTTTATACTGGAAACTTTACCGCTTTTCTCGTCAATGAAGGTTGCTACAATTCTTCCACTTTATCTACCGTCACATCATTTGACTGAGCTCAGTCAGCAACAACTCTCTCTCTCTCTCTCTCTCTCCTGTAAGTTGTACTTGACATAAATAGCCTTCTGCTTCCACTTCTCTACCTTCAAACTTCTTAATTCCTAATGACTGAAATGATTACGCCAATGACAGATCTAACCGACGGAAATAACACGTTTACATTCAGGTAATTTCAGTCTGTCTTCGACTAGCGCAACACTGACACTCAGCAACTAGATTCAAAGTAGATCTTGACTCTAACCTTCCAATAGTTGAAACAGAAATCTAGTTTGCCTTTCTCTTTAGTATACAAAAGGGAATGGATGACAGTACACATATGTAAATCTATTTTCAGATCCAGCTCCGTTCAAGTGTTTATCAGTATCTGATTGGCAGACGTGTCCTGGAATAAAATCGGTCTACCCGACATTATATGATGCTAGTGCTGTTTGTGTGAAAGCACTTTGTCAGAATGAATCAGATCTGCTGGAGTCTGGGGAAATACAAGAGAGCAACGAAAGTCATACATAAATAACTATCACTTGTTGCAATGAAGTAAGTCGGTGAAAAGTTTGAACATGTATAAAAATGAAAGAGTATGACAGTCAGATGAGATATGAGCTTTTTTGCCAGGCATAATCTATAGGATACATGGATATCAGATGAATAGCGACTGAAGAACATCCAGCTCTGAAAAACAGTCATCATTTCCTTCTGAGTTTCATTGAACATAGAGACTCTTAAATCTGAAGCTTGTAAACACAGATAAGCCATTTTCTTGAATCTTGTCGTAAAGACATTCAATATCATGATGACGACTATCAGTGTCATCACAAAGCCCAGCGTTAGTAGAAGTGACAATCTTTCAATAAAATTCAAAGCAGTCGTTAATAACGATCGTTTGATCAATCACAGAAGAGTAGTCAAAGTTAGACTGTATAGTCCTAATCATTGACCGAATGATATCGATCAATTCTCTGTTGGTTACAGATACTTCTTGCCAATGACTACTGACAAACGTTAAACACAGATGAAGAAAAGCTTCTTACTGGTTGCCTTCTGTTAAGGCTACTTAGAAACAACGGAAATTGTTCAGATGAACAGAATTGTTCCTATTCGCTTAAGCAAACACTTGTCAGTGTTTTTTAGCTTTACTTTGTGGTTGTATTGATTTTTTCTTTTGTAACATTTAAATTGGTTGGTAGAAAGTCGATTTTACGACAACTTAAACTTTTATTGATTTCTTGTCAGTATGTAAATCACAAAGGTGGTATTTTTATAACAGATACACCACTTCTATCGATCATGCCAATGCACACTGTGAGCAATTCAATATGACTTCAACCATTTACTGTTTTCGATTAGTGGTTTTTCTACTGTCAATAGGTTAATGATACACACAGTTCATTCTTTTACTAGGCAGGGGATAATTAAACCGGTATGTAGTGTATAAGGCTTAAATAGGGTCCAAAAGCCACCTGACTTTAAATTATGCAAGAACAAAACTAGGAGTGACCCAGAACTCCACCTTAGCAATTTGCTGAATGGACAGTTGGGGAGATTTATTGATTTCAAGGTGGTATTCATCACCGAGTGACATTAACTAGGGGACTATAAAACCTGGGTGCACTGAACAGCTGTTTCGTCCTGGTGTGAAACTCCTCAGCAGTACACACTCATGACAGTGACAGAGATGGAACCCATGACCTTCAGGTTTTGCGGAGAACACGTTACCATTGAATCAATGGGTCAGAATCCAATGGTCCACTTTCTCCTACTTCTACCAATCTGTGACATAGCGCGATCATCATACAATACCACGCTAATAATTTCCCTTACAGACTATTCCAGAAAGTAGATCGTCTAACTACTTTCTTATAATATAAACAAACTATACAGTACTTCTTATTGTCTTTGGTTATCGTCTATTAAAGACTTTCTGTTGCATATGCACAGTCACCCGGTAAGAGACCATGGATGTAGGTTTCAAAATCAATAGTGAATGATAAAACCAGCTTCAAGACACTCCACTGATCACTGCACTTATAGTACAGCAGGTGACAGGATGGAGGGGAATTCACGTAGCACCGACAAGTCCTCAGAGGACGTCTGACCTTCTTTAAGCTTTTGATTTAATAGCTTGCGATCGAGTTGAAATTCTTTGAGCTAAGAGCATTGGCTCTACCTTCCAATATTGGTGTGCAGTTATCACCCGACTACATCTGATCAATGCAAAACAATTTCTGCACACTACCAGGGACCGGATTGAAACGTGCCTGTTATATTTCTCTGATAGACACCGTCAAGAGAACGACATCACAATGAAACTTGAGTCATCCATTCAAGGAGTCCGTATGGCAACATAGACAGATCAAATCGTTCCAGTATAATAACCAATGCGAAATTGTAAGCCCCACTCAGAATCAGATGATATCGATTACACAAGAGATAGTTATCGTGACTCAGGAAGCTAGTGGATAACGCTATGGTGTTTGCAGCAAAAGGTGCCAAGTTCCAGCCCCAGCAGGGACCAGCATGGTTAGTATGAGATGCGATCGTTCCAACGCTAAACAGAGAAAACCCATACCACCAGCGCCGGAAAACCCTGGGAAGGGAGTAGTGTGGTAATTTTGGGGCTAACCTTTTCTAGCCCCTACCCCTTCTCGTAGTACAGGCAGCATCAGCGTGGTACTCCTGGTCATCCAATGGCAACACCTTACTGCTGTCATATAGCCATCCATATGGGAGCAGTAGGACTTCACCCTCGGACCCCCACCATAGTATAGCCATTCACATTACACCTGCAACTGCTTTTCGTCTCACCACTATCTAACAGACCTCTCTGACATGGTCGGACCTCTTGGGAATAAGCGTCTCAGCCAGTATAGTTAGTTAGGTCATTGTAATACACGAGCCCGACCACCACCTCAAAGTAACATCTGACGGCGGATCGACGAAATCCCTGACTGTTTGTCTGAAGTGCGTGGGGAGGTGTAGACTGTCTGGGTGGAGTCTCCAAGACGATAGGAATCAGAGGTTTAGGATTCTTGGTGATATGGTTCTAAAGTGGTCACCATGGAGCAGATGTATTCATTCTGTCTTCTTCTACAGCTTGAATATTCGCACTAATAGTTATCTTCAAACTATTTGTTCTCTTACACATCTTTCAATAGTTTGACATTAGTCTTTTTTTATTCACTTGGTCCCTGTACACTGCAGACAACTTAAACCGATGCACTTGTGTGCGGGGTTCTGCGTTGATTTTGTCTATCTGTCTAGGAACAGTGTCAAATATTCAGGTACAGCCACCTAAGGAGTTCTAGTTAGGATGATATTAGCATCTAGGATTCCAATGCTAGTGACCACCAAACAAATTATATAAAAGTGGTCGGCTACTAGTACCTCCATCGTGTGTAATTTTAGAAACCATACCCTTTGCAAGCTTTGTAGATAACTTTAAAAGAGGATTCTGTGGAAGCCTTACCACCTAAACTGACTATCATTCAAGTAGTGGGTTTTTAACTAGCTAACGTGCACCACTGGGTAGCCATAATGAATAGTTATTACTATTTGTTGATCAAAAGCACATCAGTAAATAGTAATAACTACTACCCGTTGTACAAGAATTTGCTTTCGTTCCTCCGTGTCATAGTGGATAACGCCTTGGCGTTTGAAGCGATGGGTACGAGGTTCAAGTCTCAGTGGGAACAACATCACTCACCGAGGTGCAGATACATTCAGTTGATTCGTACCAAATAGGACGAAGCAAGCGTTCTGGATTCTTGTGCTAGTCACAACCAAGTAAATTAAACAGATGAAATCTAGAAAGTCTGTCAGGGAAGTGAAAAAGTGATAGAAATAGTTTACATCGCTCAGGCTGTTGTTAATAAGGTACTGAAGTCTTAATGTAAATTCACCTTGTAGACACTAATGGACAAACATCTGAATAAAAACAAATTCAATGAACTTAGCCGAATCAAATTCAGGTTACGCCCTAACTGATCAACATGCGCACATACAACCTGTTCCGTCTACTTACTTCATTGCCAATCGATAGATTTAAATCAATTCTTGAACGATCACCTTTTTTTGTTGTCTAGCTTTTTTTATAATCTCTGAAAACCTGTTATTGAAACGATATTCTACTTGATCCTTATGTTTCTATCTGACGAACTTTGAAGCATGAATAATGTTAAGTTTTGGATATCAACATTCTATAGATTAAAGATTTACCACAAGTTGGCTAGTTTGTTAAGATGAATCAATGAAGCTTTTAGAATAGTAACAGTAACTTGATCTAGTAATGATCTCAGTTGTCACGGGAAACATGTCAGTGCTGAGGACTGACATCACTTGGAGAACCACTGAAAATCTAGGAGCACTGGACAGCTGTTCCTTCCTAGTATGGAACTCCTCAGCAGTGCACACTTACGACCCAGCCAGGAGTCGAACTCAGGACCTTCTGGTTTCACGGCGAACGTGAATTGGCAGAAGTTGGAAACTGTAAGCCATCGAACTCCGACTCAGTGGCTAGGATGTTCGTCGTGAAACCTGAAGGTCCTGAGTTCGATCCCTAGTCGGGTCGTGGGTGCGTACTGCTAAGGAGTCCCATACTAGGACGAAAAGACTGTCCAGTGCTCCCAGATTTTCAATGGTCCTCCAACTGATGTCAGTCCATAGTGTTGGTTTAAATGTCAATTTAATCCCGGTCATATTGAGAATTCTTCTAAACGCTTCTGAGGTGCTTTCATTGCATAGCTACACAGTGGAGGCTTTGAATTCTCTCTCAACCATTAATACTACTATTATTACCGGAATTATTATTAATAACATCTGTGTTATAAATTCTCTCAAAGTTGTGGAGTTACATTATTTGAATATGGACAGTTAATTATGTCCTAAACGTTATCCAGTGAAGATACTGTTTCCCTGTGTAACATTCCTAATAAAGACTAAAATGGAATTTTTATTATTTTTTTCAATAGAAATTACTAGGTGAATATTCTGTTGATCTTCATGTCTTTCAGGAAACTCCATTCTTGAAAATGAAAGATGTACATATGAGTTTACTTCGAAAATCAAGTGACTTTAAATGCTATCTGAAAGAGACATTATAAACCATACGCAATTTTTATCAGTTCATCGATTTTATCGATTGGTCTAAACGAAAAGTCTGAAATGTATACTTACATTTCTGAATAAAAATCTGAATTACAATTCCTATACTTATCTTTCTAATCTCTCTCTAGTATAATTTTCAATATTTTTTTAAAATTGTATAATGTGTACTTAATCATAAATGGTTATCATTTCCAATTCGTTTAATCGATTAGTCAGTTAGTTAGCTATTAGCTTTATTTACTTTCTTATTGATCATTTTGTCAATTTGATAAACAGTTTATTGATAAATTATTGATTTCAGTTATTTTTAAAGTGCTATTCCATCTCAATTCATTTGTTAATGATACTACTGCTGTTTAAATGCTTAAAAAGAAAAACGCACAATTCACTTTGTTGTAATTAATACAAAA